GAGGGTGAGTAAATTATGACAGAATTAAAATTTTTGTGTGAACGATGACTTTAATATGGATTGCCCCATGGCAAATGACAGCCTGGTTGTGGTTGTTCTTAATGAAGAGGAATATGTATACACAGTACACACACGTTTTAGTGGTGCCGTAGGGGATCCTAACTGGCACAGTTTAAGCAGTTGCAGAATATTTTAATACATTGCAAAGAATTTACCACCACAATATTGTTACTGAATAAAGCTTTAAGCCTGTTATGTTTTTTTTTTTTCTGTTTACAGTGAGGGTGGCGTCTTTAAAGCCCATCTTACATTTCCCAAAGACTATCCTCTCAGGCCTCCTAAAATGAAGTTCATAACAGAAATATGGCATCCAAATGGTAAGTGTGGGTTCATCCCACTGGGTCTTTCACATTTTTTTCTGAGCTGTGTTTATCAGCAATGTTTGTATTTAATGTTGTAAAACTGAGAAACATTTTTGTGAGATTTGTTGTTTGCAGGTTTCCACCGAATGTAAACATCCCTTATTCAGGTTGCCCTCGGCTGATAGAGAGGCTGCTCACTGCAGATCCATCGGTGGAGTGTGAAGTTCAGCTCCTCCTCTCTGGTTGTAATTTGGGCGTAATGGGTGAAGGTTCAACCACACCCTAACCCTACCCATCCCTCCACCCATTATATCCACAGAGGTGGAGCTGGACTAGGTCAAGCTCAACCCATGAATAGCTGCAGGTCATTTGGCTCTGCAGTGAGCACCATTTGGGCTGATATAAAAGCTATATTGCACTTACACTGACACCTAGCGTTGTGAATTCAGCTTCATGCAAATGCTTTTTGTTGCTTATTATTCAGAATGTAAATATTTTATTTCACTGGCAAAATGTCTAGTAATGGTGCTTGCCTACCATTGTGTGTGTTTTTGGCTGGTCTTCTAATCTAAACTTGTCTGCTCCCATTAGGAGACCTCCTCTATATAAAATAAATCGCTTTGATAAAATCTATTGATATGACAGGAGGTTTTTTTAATGTGAATGTACATGATTTTAAAGAAATTTTTAAAAGTTATATTCTTCTGTGTAATATTTTAATGAGGGAAAAATTATGGGATAAACCTTAGTAAAATGTTCACATTCCCTGCCTCTTGTTTATTATTGTGTTGATTTAATTATTCTTTCAGCAACCATATTTATCTATTATATTAAATGAATAGCAACAGAAAAAAATGGTTCATGTATGTCAAACTGTGTAAGACTGTAATAACTTGCATGCAATCCTCATGTCCTGTTTCTGTATTGTGTTTGCAGTTGACAAGAATGGTGATGTTTGTATTTCGATATTGCACGAACCGGGGGAGGATAAATACGGCTACGAGAAACCAGAAGAGCGTTGGCTCCCCATCCACACCGTAGAGACCATTATGATTAGTGTCATCTCTATGCTAGCTGACCCCAATGGAGATTCCCCTGCCAATGTTGATGCAGCAGTAAGCTTGATGCTAACTTGTTAAAACTAACATACTCGGCTGATCAATAACTATTTAATACATATATATGCTTCGTATTCCATTGTGGGCATGTTAGCAGAATGTGATGCTGCTGTACTTTTATTCACTTAAGTGATAAATTAGATAAATTATATGTGTATTTATGCATTCATTTTTATCTAATATTTCAGAAAGAGTGGAGGGAAGACAGACATGGTGAATTCAAAAGAAAAGTTGCCCGCTGTGTGAGAAAGAGCCAAGAGACTGCCTTTGAGTGAAATTCATCTAGCAGCTTGTAGCTTCACTATTTTCAGGGTAAGCAAGTGGACTTTTACCATCTTGTTTTACTGCTGATGTCTTGTGACCATTTTTTTTTCAATTCCCTAACTTGACTGACTTATTGAAAACTCACGAGCACAGAGCCAGGTGATGCAGATAATTTTTTATCACAAGTTTTAAAGCTATCCCTCAGGTGACTTTTTTTATTAGCATGTTGATTTACACTGATCTGTTTTTACCTGTGGTTGTTTTTTTTAATATAAGGTAAAATGTGCTTTATCTGCATATGAATGCGTAGCACATAAAAAGTCAGGAAAATATTACTGACATTGCTGATTTGTACAGGGTTAAAAATCACCCAACTCTCATGTTGCACTCACTATCCCGTACAGAACTAATCCCCTCGGAATAGGGCTTTTGTCAGTCTGAGTAGAGTTCTGTCATAGTAATGTTGTGGGCTAACCTGTTAGAACAGGTTCACAAGGCTTGTTTAAAAATAGAGGTTCGATGCTAAAGATTATTAGGTAACAGTGGCTCTTTTGTCTGCTTAGCCTCTCGTAGGTAACTTTTCAGTTGGTTGTACTGTTTCCCCCTCGTTCACACATTACCCCTGTAACTGTAGTGTGTTTAAAGTAAGTTAAGTTTCAAAAGATTGATATCGCTGATGTATGTCACTGACTAAATGAACTGTTGAAGGCTATAGATGTCTAAAGGTCTATTAGTCTGACATTTGTTGAAATATCTAATCTAATATCTCTGTCTGTGTCTTTCACAGGTCTCCAGTTGAGAAACAACATGGCACTGTTTTCTTGCACTCTACCACCCTATTGCTGGACTGGTTTTCATTGAATGTTGGCAGTAACAGACTGGCATTAATAGGCTGCAATAGAACATAAGGCCATCACAGATGCTGACAGAACACGCCAAGCAAGTGCCAACAAAAAAGAGAAAAAAAAAACTTACAAACAATTACGCTTTTTTCCTTCTTTTTTTTTTCTCCAAGTCTACGAACTGATACAACTTTTCAGGAAGAGATTGTAAAGACGTGTACATAGCACAGACATAAAAACCGGATAATATATAATAACTTGTTCCTATCCATCCAGCAGGACTTAGTACCAAATAAAATAGCAATTCTGTAGTTAGAGTGTGACATCATGTACAGTTCTTGAAGAGTATAGTTCATCTCCTACCCTCCACCTCCTGCTGCCTCACATCTCTTAGTGTGCATCAGATCTGGTACATCTGCAAGCAGCCTCACGTACCCGCCTGTCGGTTTGAACAAAAGTCACTCAAACTCAATCCAGTTTTAGGGTGGGGAAGGAAGGGGTAAGCTATAATTAGAACTCAAAGCATGCTCGTCATGTTGGATGGCTTTCTCACTCGGGACACTTCAGGTAAAAATAGCTGTAAAGCACGTCATTTTCTTATTAATTAGGGGTCATGAAGGTATTTCTCTGATTTGGTTTTTAAAAAGGGTGGGTTGGGGGGGTGCTCTTATTTTGGCTGAAAGGATGACTGCATTCTGAGTGTCAGGTTCTCATCTTTTCTCTTGTTTTGTCTGTTTGAGGCGGGAAGGCAATGGCAAGGAAACCCATCAGATGTGATTTTCTTTTCTTTTTCCTGCATGTTTTAAGTTCTCTTTTGTTTTCAAAAGTGCCTCCAATTTAAAACGCTTGGCTTGTGCCCTGCATCAAACGGGAGCTTAAGGGAGGAAGGTGTTTAAGAACTGCTGAACATCCTCTCAAGTTTGTGTGAATGTGTAAGGTTTTTTTTTCTTCCATAACCTTTGTACCAGCATTCTGAATTATTTAGTGTAGCAATAACTGCGTTGCCCACTTTCCGAGGACATCCTAAAATTGGATATTCATATGAGATTTCGAGTAAAGATTCCCCCTTGTATCAGAACAGATTTTTGTGTGTGTGTGCTTGACATCTCTTTTGTGTGGTTTCTTTGATAGGTTTCTTAGCCATGCTTTAAATGTAGATTTCTTGCTAACAATTTCTGGGATTTCAGATGAGGTGTATGTGTTTAAGGGTGAGTGAGCATTAAGTGTTATGCAGAGGTGTGTGTGTGTGTGTGTGTGTGTGTGTGCGCGTGCGTGCGTGTGCATGCCTGTATCCCATCCTCTCTCCCACAATCTTTAATTCTCTGGTTAATTTTATTCTGGCTCTGACAGACTACTGCAATTCTTTTGCCTAATGTACAAAGACAAAATACCGATGTATATTTTTCATGTTATGAAAATTGTCACCTCTAGTGAGTTCTTCTAAAATATAATTTTTTCCAATACTTGTGTGCTGTCTGTGTTCAGTTCAAAGTGTTACTACAAATCTGGATGTGATAGGACACTCATCCATTCATCAATACCAGCATAACTACAAATGTATTTGCTTTTTATTAAAAATATTCTTCTCAGAACATGGCAGTCTCATATAAACCACTGGGTAAAAAGTGTATCTACAGTTGTGTAGTTTTAAAAACATATATTTGGGCCAGTGTGATTTTAGTATTTATATACTATATTATAGTATTTATATTTTAAATTTGTTTTATTTTTCATATTTTAATTTTTGTTGAAGCAGTTTCACATGCTTTGTTATTAGTTTAGTTATATTTCTAGATAGCTTTAATTTTATTTTTAAGCTAAAATAATTTTAGTGCTTAAACTTATTTCAGTTACCGTAGTTGCTAAGGGAATATTTTATATTTATAAAATATTTATTTTTTCATCTATATTAATTTTATTTCAGTTCACTTCATTTAAATGACTGAAAACAAGTTTGAATAGTTTTTGTGTTGGCTAACAATAACAACACTGCTTAGGGGGGCAATGGGAAATATTGGTTGGCCATCATAAGGACAATTGAATTGTAACAATGTGCATTTGGATGTGCAACAGTTTAACATGCTCAATGGTGCAGGTGACATGTAGGTCTACTGAGACTTTTATACAACAGACTAGGCCTTATTTTTAGAAAGGGTTTGGGAATGTGCCAAAGAGGACATTTATCTAAATAGAATTTATTTTCCCTAATATATCTGCAACAGCCTTGAGGAAGAGTAACACACACAGGCTGATGGTCAGAATTAAACTTAAATAAGACTAAATAATAAAGACCCCGTGTAACAGCTGGTTTCCTTGCAACACACAGACTTGCAATTTTTTTTTTTTAATCTGGAATTTAGATTAAACATCAAACGTAATGTATCTTTGGGTCATTGCTTGCTTCCACCAGCACGCTCCTCCCAAATCAAATCCTTCCTCCCGCGCTCTCTCGCGATATTAGGCGACGAGCCACGGATCCAACATGGCAGAAGGTATGAGGATGGTTTCTTTCTTATTTTTCACGCCCTTTCTGTTTAACATCCACAGTTGTTATTTCTTTACACAATGGACAGGCCTAATACTGTATTTAAGTGTTATCACCACAGCCATTTGGTGACAGATATTGCATAACGCTGAAATGAACCACTTTATTGCATTTTTGTCCAGCCTAGCTGGTTGCAAGTCAGGTGGTGGGCTGGGCGGTGGTAGTAATAATTCGCCGGGTGATTTGAGCTCTCATGTAAAGAGATATCCAATGAATCCTTTTTCAAATGATATATTCAACTGCATTTAGCGCAGATCATACAACTTTATGCTTTTGAAAGGTAAATGGTTGATTTTAGAGACATTGTCGTCCTGTAATCTCATTTTGCGCTGGTTTTCCCAAGTCATTTCTAATCAGAATTTTCCCTTTTTTGTCTTTTGTCTCTGTCTTCATCACCCTGAATGAGTAATTCATCTGGCTTTGCAAATTGATGATTAAATCTGTCAATACATTGCTCTTTTTAATGTAGCTTATGTGATACAATTGAATATAACCTGACATTTATATATAATAACAGTAGAAAATAATTTTTATAGCTCTGCCTTGTTGATTTTTATAAATAATTTTCATATCATGATTGCATTTAGTGACGTTGCTGCAGGCGTTTATAACCGTTACTTTTATCAGCTGATGTGTGACATCTCCCTTCTTTATCTTCCCTCAACATGTTGTTAAATCATAATACATTTAAGTGGAATTGCCTTCAAACAGCGTACGCTTAAGCTGTCTTTCTGTCATTTTTGTTTTACTTTTTATTTAAAGACGGGGTGGCTAACAACAGGCTAGCGAATTTTTATTGTAGTATCAACACAAACGTATAACTTGTTGACAAGCATATTGGTTAAAGCCATGGTTGGTCATCTTGGTAATATTTTGTACCTTACCTTTTGTAGTACCTAATTTTCTGTACCCAATTACGAATTATTAAACCGCTAGAACAATTTATTGTATATTAATTGCACAATTTCTGATGTATTCTTCATCTGAGTTCATTGAGTAATTCATGAGCTGTTATAATTCGTGTTAATGCTTGTTGGTGATGCAAGCAGATTATTGCTTCACAAGGTTTCCTGTCATCTGATTGGCTGATGAGCTTTTTAAATACTTTATGGGACCTATTTGGACATCTCTGAGTTGTTGATTGCTCAGCATACTGGATTCCTGAATCTAGGCTGAAGACAAATGGCTCACATATTAAACTGAAAACATTCTAATTCTTTGCTTACAACACCACACACACACACACACACACACACACACACACACACACACACACACACACACACACACACACACACACACACACAGGTTTAATTGTGTGCAATGACTAGGGTAGACTTTTCTTTTCACAAAATGTACAGCTTTGGCATGTTATACTTATACAAGGCGCTGGCTAGCTTGCTGGGGTTTTAATAGTTTATTTTCTTTTAGCAGAATTCAAAGATTTTCCTAGATGTCAAATGGTAAGACATTACTAGACCAGCTCTCTCAGCACCTGAGCTTATGTGGAGCAAAGGCAAAGTGTAGCCTCAGCATTCTGGAGAGGTGAACGTAAATAAATTCAAGGAAAGAGGAAGGAAGCGGCTGTGTTGGAATGTAGGTTAAGCTGTGAAATCCTCTAGTCACAGATCCAAGGCAATTACCACATTAAAGATGGCGAGTTTAAAGTTGTTATTTTGAGGTTTGAGTGGAATGAGACTGATCAAGGTTGTAGCCTATATTAACTTTTGCGATTGTGGTTATCATGAATCGGACCATGTTAAAAGTTTTTACTTCTTGTAACATGTAAAGGCAGTTTTGCTCGCATATCGTAGGTCCACTTCTCCTCCCGTGAGCGTGCTCAGGAAGTCTGTCTGTGTCAGCAGTTTTCATGTGAAATCTGTATTTTGTCCCTCTTTCTCTCGTCTACATGGCATTTCCACTTCCCTTTTGCTTTAACCCACCACATTTGACGGTTTATTCTTATTTGTTTACCCTTATTTTCTCCTTGTACTCCATGTACTCCTTCCTTTTGTTCCACTACTCATCTCTCTTCATCGTTTCCATCATGCCTGCAGAGGAGGTGCAGAAATTGCAGAAGCACCTTGCTCTGCTGAGGCAGGAGTATGTGAAGATGCAACAGAAGCTGGTGGAGACGGACAGGCGGTGCTCTGTGTTGGCTGCCCAGGCCTCTCTCCCTGGCTCTGTGTCCCAGGCCAGTGACTCCTTCATCAGCCGCCTGCTGGCCATTGTGGCTGACCTCTTTCAGCAAGAGCAGTACAGGTGAGAACTGGACATGAATGCTCACATACTGTTAGATGATATGTTGGGTGAATGTTAACCAAGAAATGTTCAGTTCATATTTAACCCCAGAAGCAAAAGAAATATGAAAATATGTTTGTTTGTAAAAAGAAAATAGCATTTACTGTGATAAAGTTTTTCTTATTAGCAATGCCAATGCAAAAAAATTTTTTTACCATCAAGGCTCAAGCTATGTATATACACACACACATATAATTAAATATATTAATATTATATATCAGTAATTCTTTGCATATTTAAATAAAATATTTATTGTATTTTTGTTGTTGCGGAATTGAGAATGAAACCGGCGTTTAAATGTACTTAATTCTCATGCAAATAGTCAAAATCCAATTGACAGTTTTATAAGATGCACATTGTAATTGAAAGGCAGTATGTAAGCTTGTTTGTGGCTTTGTCCTGATTTAAATTTTAAAAGTTATGATTTACAGTTTCATTTTGCTTCTCGGTGTATAAAAGCTGGCTGAAAGGTTTTTAATATGTCTGCTGGGTCTGTAAAGTTAGGAAGTTCTATTACAGTTGTATTTCTTTTTATTGCACCACTTATGAGGTTACAGAATGACCGGTCTGAGATTTGAGCCTGGACTGTTGTCTCAGATCTGACCTCACTGAGACCAATGCATAATACATTAGGTCTAATACATCAAATGATATGGTAGCTGATTACTGCATATTTCAAAGAGATGCTGTGTAAAACCAGTATGACCACATCAGTCTTTTTTTCTCCTAGCGATCTGAAGGTGAAGATTGGAGATCAGAGGCTCAGCGCTCATAAATTCGTGCTGGCTGCTCGGAGTGAAATCTGGAGTTCAGCCAACTTGGCCTCCACTACAGAACTGGACCTCTCAGGTAACAATGGCTTCTCTGTTTCCTACAACCTGCACTAGAAATGTAGCATGTCTAGATTATGTTTGGTTGTTTTTTTCCCCTTATTGTTCTAATGCAGTATGCAGCCGTAATCCCTCAAAACTGAACTTGTTGTTGGATTCTTTCCTGTACATCCCCATGTGACTTCCTAGATGCCAAACCAGAGGTTGCCATGGCAATGCTGCGCTGGGCGTACACAGATGATCTGGAGTTGAGTGGGGACGACGGCTTCCTTATCGACCTGATGAAGTTAGCCAACCGCTTCCAGCTCAATCTTCTGCGTGAAAGGTGGGAACGGTCCACTAGAATAATAAATGACTGGATAGATTTTATGACTCATGTTGCAGCTTTACATCTCATAGTGTTTCACCAACAAAAACGCCATGTAACTGCTCTTATTGGTCACTCAATATGTAAGAATATCAACTACAAGTAAAAAAAACCACCCCTCAGCATGGATTGATGTGGAACATGAATGATTTTGGGGATGAATGCTACACTTGATGATTAATACAGCATATGCATCACACCATCATTTTAGTCACTCTGGTCATGTTCATTAAAATTAAATAGACATCTCCCTGAAAGCATGTGCTCTTTTACCAGGCATTTGCTTGTAAGAGGCTTCTAGTTAATCTGGAGAGTTGCAGTGATGCCCCATCACCACTGTGGCCTTGAGTCCTCTCCTGTCAATAAGTATTCTTTGGATAAAAGCAGCTGCTTAATGGCAAGCAAACAGCATATATGTTTGGTGCTTTTATGCTAATGACCAGCTTTTATTCTTGAGCGCTGGGACTGCAGAACGGAAAAATATGTCTGACATTTATATGTCACATTTATGTGTCACATTATTTTGGATAGCAGGGCTTGCATAACATGAATAATATTGCAATTAAAATCAGTTTGTGAGTTGTCATTGCATGGTTGTGACAGGAAATACACTACCGTCTAAATATTTGTGGTCTGTAAATCTTTTGTGTTCACCAAGACTGCATTTATTTAGTCAAAAATACAGTAAAAACAGTCATATTGTGAAATATCATTACAATTTAAAACAACTGTTTTCCATTGTAACATATTCCTGTGATGACAAAGCTGAATTTTCAGCATCATAAATGTCACATGATCCTTCAGAAATCGTTTTAATATGGTGATTTGGTGCTAAATAAACAATTCTTATTATTATCAGTTGAAAACAGCTGTGCTGCTTATTAATGTTGTAAAAACCGTTGTGCATTATAAATGTTTTTTCTATAACTTTTGATCAATTTAATGCATACCTGCTGAATATTAAAGTATTAATTTCTAAAAAAACAAAACAAAATCTTACTGACCCCAAACCTTTGAATGGAAGCATGCAGTATATATAAAAAATGTGATGCTGGGCTGGCTGCTGAACTCATAGCAGGTGAAATATAGAAAATGGACCTAATTTATATAAAGTATCAAGTATATTGTCTAGTATAAGTCAGGTGGTAATAATTTTTGTCATCATTTTAATAAAATAAAGAGAAAAGAATTAGAAATGATGCATTTAATGATATATCTACTTATGCATATCTAGTTAATTTCAAAACTGAAATGGTATGTAAAAGAATACAAAGCGAGCTCTAAACGTAGATATTGTTTTTCAAATGCAGATGTGAGAAAGGAGTGATGTCATCAGTGAACGTGAGGAACTGTATCAGGTTCTACCAGACAGCCGAAGAGCTGGACGCCACAACATTGATGAACTATTGTGGAGAGATCATTGCCAGTCACTGGGTGAGTCAGAAGAACAGAGCCATCGTCCTCATCCTTGAAAGATGGGGAATTTGTTCTATAGATGCACATAGGCTGGACCTTTATTTTGTTTGCCAGAAATATATCAATAATAATTAATAAATGGACAATTTCACTGTGAAAGATAGCCTTCCTCCATTGAATGCTCTGTTTAAAAGCAGCAGGATCTTGTCCTCCTCGATGTTTGGGGTCTTCTTTATGGCTCCTTGTAAATCCCCACAAGTAGTGATGATTCTCAAGGCTATGTCTAGGGTGTATTCACACCTGCCTTGTTTGGTTCGATTGAATCGAACACTAGTTTGTTTCCCCCCTTGGTGCGGACCTTTTGTGCAGGTGTGAATACAGCAATCGAACTCGGGTGCGGACCAAACAACCGAACCGAGACCCAGCTGAAGAGGTGGTCTTGGTACGGTTCCAAACGAACTCTGGTACGGTTCGTTTACGGTGTGAACATGAACCGACCCAATTGCAAGAAAGCACTGCGCCTTTGAGTTAAAAGGCTTCCGTAGTCTGAGATTTTGGCATAAAGGTTTGTGTTGTTGTTGTTCAAAACAAGTGCGAAAGAGAATTCCATTCCGGCGCGCTGTCTGGCCACACGATACTGTTGCGCGTCTTTCTGCGCGCCGTGTGTGCATCATTGGAATGGAATGAATGAATGAGTGTGTGCATCAGGACATTCCCATACAGAGCGTTCTCTTTAGTCTAATCTCGCATAGATGCAAAAAAAGCTTTTGCAGTTCATATAATAGTTACAAGGATGACGCTGCGTTAAACTGGACAAACTTAATCGCAAGCGTTAACATTGACAGCACTTGTTAGCAGTATATACAATAAGAATCTCATTATTTGAATGTGTGAACATAGCCCCTCTCTATGAATCAAAACTTTATACCTTATCCGTCTTCTGCAGTTTCTTCATATTGCGTTTGTACAGAATAACACAAAATTAGTAAAATAACAAATATTGCAGTACGAAATATCTCCATGCTGAGCCTTTTTTGCACTTCCTGATTTCCCTACTTGAGAATCCTTGTCCAATGAATGGACGACCTTAGCACACGTGTGGTTTTGTTTACAAATTTTGGTTCACTTGCAAAAAGAGCAGTGTGAAAGCAAACCGTTCCAAAAAAAAAAAAAAAAATTTATTTGGTCCGGACCAAAGCAAGTGAACTATCGGACTTTCCTGGTGTGAATACACCCTAAGATCGGGATGGTAAAGGAAACATTGTGGTGGGTTTACAGGCAAGCTCTCTGCTGAGTGAACTAAACGCATCAATATCAGCTCAGCAGACCTTGAGCAAGACCTTGAAAAAGACCAGAGGGAGATTTGCATAATTATTACATGTTGTTGTCACCTGCTGTTTTAAAGGAGATTTTTTTTTTTTTTTTTTTTTTTTTTTTGGAGTGTGTATTCGTGCAGAAGGTATGATTAATATTTACTTTCTTTACCCTCTCAAACAGGATGATCTACGGAAAGAGGACTTCAGTAGCATGGATGCTCAGCTGCTCTATAAAATGATCAAATCCAAGACCGAGTACCCCCTTCACAAAGCAATTAAAGTAGAACGAGAAGATGTTGTCTTCCTTTATCTAATAGAGATGGATGCCCAGGTAAAGAGCCAGCACTGAATCAAAGAAGTGTTTTTGCTTTATATACCGTGATATAAAAAGTGCAAGGTCCTAAAATCAATAAAATCAATATCAAGTGATGTTTTTCTATGGTTAATGTTTTGCTTTAGGTTTTACATTGGACAACTAGTAGTGACCCAACACAGTAAAATAATTCTAGTATAAAAATAAACAAAAATATGAATATTACTGATTATATTTTGAATGACTCGCATGCAAAATGTAGGCTATCTATTTGTTTAAATTGTTACAACACAATCATTGTGTTGCCCCTGATTTTTAGCACATTTTTAGCCACTGATAAATGTTTTATCTTCTATTGATAAGCTTGTTTATTGCATGCCAAACTTATTAGGATAAATGTTTCTTTCATTTCATTCCCAAGTTACCAGGAAAGCTGAATGAGCTAGACAATAATGGAGATTTGGCGCTGGATCTGGCTCTGTCCAAGAAGCTGGAGAGCATCGCCACCACACTGGTCAACAACAAAGCAGATGTTGACATGGTGGACCAGAGCGGCTGGAGTCTTCTGCACAAGGCCATCCAGAGAGGTGAGGAGTGCTTGTATTTGGGCAGAGGGAATATTATTTTATGAGGAATTTGAAGTTGGCATAAAGTTTTGTGAAGTTTACCACAAAAGGCGTAAATTTTCGAGATCTGTCGTAAATCTTTTGAGAAGTTTTTTTTGTTGTTGTTGTGGTCTAAATACTGTCCCTGTCCTGTATCTTTCTCTCTCTCTCTCTCTCTTTAGGAGATGAATTTGCTTCCACTTTTTTGATCCGTCACTCTGCGCAGGTGAATGCTGCCACAGTGGGTGCAGTTGAGACGCCTCTGCACCTTGTCTGCTCTTTTAGCCCTAAGAAACACAGTGGTGAAGTTATGGCTGGCATGGCCCATATTGCTGAGGCTCTGCTCAAAGCTGGTGCCAACCCAAACATGCAAAACAGCAAAGGACGGTGGGTAACAAGTCAAGGGTTTCTTCTGCAATAATGATTTTCGGGATTATTATTTTATCCGCAATAATGTTTTTTGGGAGTAAAGCTTATTCATTGTATTCATAACCTGGTTTTATTTTTCTAATTCTTAGGACGCCATTACATGAGGCTGTGGTGTCGGGAAATGAAGCAGTCTTTAACCAGCTTCTACAATGCAAACAGTAAGCTTAAACAGGCTTTATCTGGGTGAATTTGAAGGGAACTTTGGGAAGGGGATGCCATTTGTAGTGCCATTCCAAACGAAAGTGAATAGTTGAATCCCCTCACGAAGGGCCTCTCCACAAGTCTGTTAGCAAGGGGTACATACGATGGTCACTTCAAATAAGTAATTTGATCGTTTATGGTCATGTGACCCAGGGTGGTGAATCCTCGCAATTCATTTTAAAGTTAGATGGCGGGAGAGTTCGAGTTAACATATAAACAGAATAATTAAAGTAGTTTTGTTTGTGATATATTGCACAGATTTTTTTTCATACATTTCATATGAAGATTAAATAAGTTTCATAGGTAAGAAATGTTTAAAGTCCGCATGTAGTCAAATTTATCCCTTAAAACTCATCTTTGATCACCAAAATGGCATAGGAAAAAACTTTTAAATGTGATTTTTTTTAAATTTTATTTTTTATTCATGCCTTAAAGTTTTAATGTAACTTCACACCCTTGCTTCAATAAGTCCAGTATACGTATACGCCGATCCACGAATAAGCAATTTAGACCTGCCTCCACTCACTCGTATGTGCTTAGAATAGCTGATCTACTCTGTAAACTTTACTGTAGTAAATGCTACAAAATGGCAAGTGCAAATACTGGTTTAATTCAGCCATATGTTTGAACCAGACACTGGTTCAGAAGAAGTGGAAGAGTGAAATATACAGGCTTGTATAAATAGATGTATCAGAATGGTAATGTGTTTTTGTTTTATATATCGCTCTTTACAACGTGGGACAAATAACAGTAATTAATATGATTAGCCTTTTGCTTGACTATGTTATCAAACAGCTAATACTGTGTTATGTTATACACAAACCATGTTCCCGTTCGCCACCTCAGAGTCAAGACAGCTGTCTTCTAAAAATCAGCATCCTTAGAAACCCTTTGAACAACTCAGAACGTCAGTGGAGACATGTATATGATGATATTATGATGAATTTTATGCCCAATTCACCTGCTATATTGATAAATGTACCTGATTTTTCATATCAACAGAGAAGTATACTGGGATAACCTGGCTTCTCTTGAGACTCCACTGCTTCAGAGCAGTTATAATGATATGCTAAAGCCCGCCGGCACATTGACGTGATTGGTTACAAGTTAGTTTGTGACGTAAGAAACACCAGCGATTTCAAACAGTGTTGTTTTTTTAGACTGTCTTTAGATCACTGCCGTTTTTAAAGAGAAAATACTTAAAATGTTTGTCTTAAAGCATATTAAAAACACACCACATAGACATATAAACAACATTAAAAACTTGATTTTCACCACAGGGGGTCTTCAATAGTAGATGAATAAGAATATAGAGTCCAAAGAAGAGACTGCAAGTTTTAAAGTTGAGAGCAAATAGGGAACACACGCACACAAAATGCGTATTTTAAAATCTTCATTATAAAATGTATTGTTTTATTAGCAACAATAATATTAACAGCAATAATAAGAAATTTCTGTTGTAAGATCAGCTAATGGGCTGATGGATGCTGTGTTGTCATGGTAACATTCCAGGAAATTACATTATTTTTCATTGCTCCCTTCACACTTCAAGAGATCTGGCCTTCAGAGTTAGTAGGGCACAGGGATGCTCACTTCCGATTGGAATTCACCCTCTTTTTCAAAACGAATGATCTTAAATTATTTATGTAGGTAATGAAAAAGAATTATACCAAACTACTTTCTGAATGTATGGAATACACAGAATGATCTAAAACTTGTACAAATGCAAGAGTCTAATGTGGGATAGTGTATCCCATGATGCATTTTTTCACCTCCCATTGTGATAAAGGAACTTGATGTAATATCAAAATGTGATTTGTAATCTTGACTTGGACTGCCTTAACCACTGTTTCTTCATGTGTTCTGATAAAAAAAAGTATACACTGTATACTGTTTAGTAAGCTAGTGTTCTGAACATGGAGATACAGTAGTTACCTCTACCTTCTTGGTGTAATATTGTCCCTTTCTTGTTTCCTTTTTGTAACACTGTAATCCCTCACCTTCCTGCTTAGATTGGACCTGGAGTTGAAAGATCACGAAGGCAGCACCGCACTGTGGCTGGCCCTGCAGTACATCACTGTGTCCTCTGACCCCTCCGTGAACCCTTTTGAGGATGAAGCTCCTGTTGTGAATGGAACCTCATTTGACGAGAACAGCTTCGCAGCAAGGCTTATACAAAGAGGGAGCAATCCTGATGCACCAGACTCCAATGGTATCAAACATCTTTCACTTTATAAAATGTTTAATGTGTCCCTTTAGTCATTACCCATTTTATACCTGCTAATCACAACATCTCCTCCTCAGGTAACTGCCTCATGCAGAGAGCAGCTATCACAGGAAGTGAAGCAGCCGCTATCTTCCTGGCCACACATGGAGCTAAAGTCAATCACACCAACAAATGGGTGTGTGTGTCAGCTTTTATTAGAAATACACTGCCAGTCAAATGTTTGAACATGCATATTCCTTTTACACAATTTAGAATAATAGTGTGAGTCATCAAAACTACTAAATAGAACAAATTTAAAGTGTGAAAATTCTGCTATGATCCTGAAAAAAATATGCATGACGGTTTCCACAAAGATATTAAGCAGCACAACTCTTCTCAATGTTGATAATATTAAGAAATGTTTTTTGAGTACTGAAACAGCATGTTAGAATGATTTCTAAAGGATCGTGTGACACTGAAGAGAAGACTGGCGTACTGAAAATTCAGCTTTACCATCAGAGAATAAATGACATTTTAAAATATATTAAAATAGAAAACTTGAAAATTAAGAATATTTCAAAATATTACTGTTTTACTGTATTTTTGATCTAATAAATGCAGCCTTGCTGAGCTTAAGACTTAAACATTTTGAATGATAATTTATATATAAATGTATTAATTGGCAATTATTATAAAACAGGAGTTGTAGTAAAGGGGTGGATTGTCGTAAATGAAATATTTATTATTTTTATTTTTTTATATATTCCTTTTTCCTCTTGTGATTTTTTTTTTTTTATCACATTTTCGTTTGTAGGCTGAGACCCCCCTCCATACGGCGTGCCGCTGTGGCCTGGCAGGGCTGACGGTGGAGTTGCTCCAGCAGGGGGCGAATCCTAACCTGCAGACCGACAGCGCCCTGCCTGACGGAGCCGAGAAGAGCCAAGGAGTCTTCCTCCAGAGCCCGCTCCACCTGGCCATCGTTCACAACCACCCAGATGTGGTGTCTGTCATACTAGAGCAGAAAGGTGAGGGATGAGGGAGGATGTTTGATTTGAATAGTGATCTGTGCAGCTGTGCCATCTCTTGTCATTCATAACTTTATTCTTGATCCATAGCCAATGCATTACATGCCACCAACAACCTGCAGATCATCCCTGACTTCAGTTTGAAAGACTCCATGGATCAGACCGTTCTGGGTCTTGCACTCTGGACCGGTGGGTTCTGCTAAAATCTCCTTCAGTGAGTTCACTGCTCATGCAGATCATTTGATGTTTCTTATTTACACTGCTAGGTATGCACACTATTGCCGCACAGCTGCTGGGTTCTGGAGCAGCCATTAATGACACCATGTCTGATGGACAGACACTACTGCACATGGCTATAAAGAGACAGGACAGCAAGAGCGCCCTCTTCCTGCTAGAGCACCAGGCCGACATCAACGTCAGGTACTAGAACTGCTATAAAAAACATCGGTTAGCACTAGCAGACATCCCTTTAGACATGTTTAGCTGTGGAGTTCATGTGGGCAATGAAGAATCTAGTGCTGCCTGCGGTGTGTATCAATCAATTCCCTCTCTGTCTCCCCAAATAGCTATTGTTGAACGAGTTGATGCATATAATATCTGATATTTCGATCATGAAAACAAATCCTAATACTACAAATCATATTATATACTATATAATACATATATATATTATATATACATATTATATATATATTATATACTAATATTCATCAATATTGATTTGACAGCACTGACACTAGCTGCGTTTACATGGACACTTTTAATCGGATTGACGGCTCAATCGGACTAAAAAACTTTCATGTAAACACCTTAATCGATCCGATTGAGCTCGATCCGATTGAGCTCGATCCGATTGGAATTTCGATCCGATTGAAAGGGGTGGTTTATTCCTTTTGTAATCCGATTGACAGAACATGTAAACACACTTGATCGGATTGAAAACCGAAACTGAAAGGACTGCGCATGTGCAATGACGTTGAAATAGCGTAATGACGGATGACTCACGGAACGAGCTGTTCTTCCTGTTGAATAAAGTGTCTTATAAATGAGTTTCCCGATATTCTAAAATTCTCATTTCACTCAGCGTCTGTGAAGTGGAGCAGGACAATGTCCCTCGAGTCCTTGTTTCAGATTATCATGCACGGACAACTGGTTCTGGGCGCTGGGTTTTACTGCGTGATAAATATAAGCAGCACGGCACAACGGTTCATGCTCATCGTCTCCAAATCATGACCAGAGACGGAGAAATATTAAGTCTGCTGTTTAAAACAAATAAAGAACCAATAGAGGAGAATAGTTATGCACGAACAGCGGCATATTCGTGCAGTGTGCGCATGTCAAAAAATCAATTCCGATCTTTATTTATCGTTCATGTAAACACCGTGTTCGGATTCATCAATCGGATTGATTTCATTCCGATTGAACCAAAAGGTGTCCATGTAAACGTACCTAGTGTTGGATGAGAACTGAGCTGGACGACATCGTCACTGTTTTTCTGCAGAAATGCTTTATAGATTCAATTAAATGAATAATTGATGATCCGTACAGCAGAATTGAATCAACACTGAACTGACTTCAGATGCACAATGACACTATTTTCTTTTAGAGCTGCAGTACAGCCGAAATGAACTGTTTGCATCATTTAATAATTTTCTTGTCATCGCTTTAAAACTACTTTGAAACAATCTGTAATGTATAATAAAGGTGACTTGACTTTGTTTTAGGACCCAGGAGGGGCAAACGGCTTTGCAGTTGGCTATCAGTAACCAGCTCCCTTTAGTAGTGGACGCCATCTGCACAAGAGGAGCTGACATGTCAGTGGTGAATGAGAAGGGTGATCCTCCACTCTGGCTGGCTTTGGAAAATGGTTTGGAGGACATCGCGTCCACATTGGTGAGAACTGCATTTTCTTTCCCTAGCATTCGTTTTCTTAAAGGGATAGTTCACCCCAAAATGAAAATTCTGTCAGTAATTACTCACCCTCATGTTGTTCCAACCCCGTAAGACTTTCGTTCAACTTCGGAACACAAATTAAGATATTTTTGAATAAATCTGAGAGCTGGATCACTCCTCCATAGGCTTCTAAGGGATTGAAACTTGTGTTGTACGTCACGCATAGGCTCACTATTGGCCAACGCTGGTCATGTGTGTGTGATGCGTGTGACGTACAACCAGAAGCGCTGCGCAGTTACACTACGTGAACTAACTCGAGGCCCACAGAGAAGTAAATGAATAGTTGAATAAAGTTGTTGTTTTTGTTTGTTTTTTTTGCACACAAAAAGTATTCTCGTCGCTTGATAAACTTAAGATTGAGCCACTGTAGTCACTCAGACTATTTTAACTATGTCTTTAATAACTTTTCTGGGCCGGCAAGTTTCAATCCCTTAGAAGCCTATGGAGGAGTGATCCAGCTCTCAGATTTAATAAAAAATATCTTAATTTGTGTTCCGAAGATGAACGAAAGTCTTACGGGGTTGGAACAACATGAGGGTGAGTAATTACTGACAGAATTTTCATTTTGGGGTGAACTATCCCTTTACCTACCTTGAAATGATTGTTTTTCCATGTTTTTAAATAATGCTTGTTTATGATGAGTTTATTTGATTCGTCAGTTATGTATTTTTTGGATTAGGTCAGGCACGGGTGTGATGCAACTTGTTGGAGTTCAGGGCCTGGAGGCTGTCAGCAAAATCTTCTCCACAGAGCCATCGATGAGAACAATGAGGTCACTGCTTGCTTCCTTGTACGCAGGTTTGTACACCTCTCCTTGTTTTCTCTTGCTTCAGGATTTGTGTTTTTAAAAATCTGTTAGACAATTCATCAAATTTATATTTTCAATAAAAACCACCAACTAAGCTGATTCATTCCTATAGAGTGCTACAGGGATGACATATTTTTGCAGGCTAAAACCCAGAAACTAGTTAGCATTTTGGCACTTCTGGTTCCATTCTTTTTCTTTTTTTTTTATGCTTGAAATAAGGTCTGTGGTTAACATAAGCTCAAGATATATTCACACAAGTTGTTCATTTGTGAAGATTATCCTAATGAACAAAACGTGTAATAATCATAAACTTTTGTTGGTCACAAGCTCACTTTTTACAATGATCCAAAAGCCAATGGAAAAATCTCATTGCATTTTTGTCAAAGGAACCAGGGTGATGCTAACTTTCAGGTTTTCCTACAAAAATACGTCATCACCGCAGCACTCTATTCAGGCTATAATTAAGACTGGGGCTTTTACACAAGGTTTTAAAAGCTTATATATATTTAAAAAAATATACAATTGTCAATTGTTTAAAAAATCGAATCAAATTATTTGCGTGTTATGCAAAAAGTGGCTGTAGAAGTTTTATTTCCCTATCATAAATGATCTCAACATTTGTTTTCAGTGGCTGTGATGTGAACAGCCCAAGGAGGCCTGGTCCTAACGGTGAGGGAGATGAGGAGGCGAGGGATGGACAGTGCCCGCTGCATTTGGCTTCGTCCTGGGGGCTAGAGGAGGTGGCTCAGTGCCTTTTGGAGTTTGGAGCCAATGTGAATGCACAGGTTAATACAGATATACAGCAGATGCATACATTCTCCCTAGTTCTTTTCTTTTTCTTTAGATGACAAGGCTTTATGCAGATATGTTCCATATACTCATTGTTTTCAAATGCCCTGAGAACTGCAATGCCCATTTCTCTGCATGCAGGATTCAGAAGGCCGTGCTCCGATCCATGTCGCCATCAGCAATCAGCAAAGCATCATCATTCAGCTGCTCATCTCCCACCCTGAAATCCGATTGAATATTCGAGACAGACAAGGCATGACGCCATTTGCCTGTGCCATGACCCACAAGAACAACAAGGCTGCCGAAGCCATCCTCAAGAGAGAGCCTGGCGCTGCCGAACAGGTGTGTGGCCATGATTATATCCACATATAACTCTCTTCCACCCTCCATAACCCACAACTGAAGTGCGCTTGAGCAAGGCACCTAACCCCCAATCGCTCCCCGGGCGCCGCAGTGAATGGCTGCCCACTGCTCTGGCTGTATGTGTCCACTGTTTGCAGTGTGTTTGTGTTCATTACTCACTGCTCATAATGTATGTGCACTAACTTGGATGGGTTAAATGCAGAGGACAAATTCCGATTTGTCCAAGAAATGACTCCACATTGTTTTGATATGTGACGTCACAAGCCACTGAATATTATAAATGTTTTCTCTCTCTGTCTAGGTGGACAACAAAGGTCGCAACTTCCTGCATGTTGCTGTGCAGAACTCCGACATAGAGAGTGTGCTCTTTCTCATTAGCGTACAGGCCAATGTCAACTCCAGAGTGCAGGACAGTGCCAAACTCTCTCCTCTACACCTGGCCGTGCAGGCAGGATCCGAGATCATTGTCAGAAATCTGGTAAAGCAACAAGAATAAAATTGATGGAGGAATTTTTATTTTCAATTCAAACACTGAAACAAATATGTTTGTTTTCTCTGATGTATGTGTGGACTGTAGCTGCTGGCTGGTGCAAAAGTAAACGAGCTGACCAAGCATCGTCAGACAGCGTTGCATCTCGCTGCACAACAGGACCTTTCCACAATCTGCTCTGTTTTGATCGAGAATGGCGTTGACTTTGCTGCCGTAGATGAGAATGGAAACAATGGTAGACTATTGTGCTAAACTTATTTAATTTAATATTCTTGAATGACTAAATTCCATTTCACTAATTTCTGTATATCTCCTTCTACTAGCACTTCATCTGGCTGTGATGCAGGGGCGTCTGAATAATGTGCGTGCGCTACTCACTGAGTCCAACATAGATGCTGAGGCCTATAATCTCAGGTTTGACTCAAAATATATTACTCCACACTTAAAGGTGAAGAATGTAAGATTTTTTGTTAAAATACATTCTCTTAACCCCGTTTATTGTTCAGTGACTACTATTAGTATTAGAGATGTTCCGATACCCTTTTTCCCTTCCCGATTCCGATACCTGGACTCAGGGTATCGGCCAATACCGAGTACTGATCCGATACCTGAGTGTGTATCTATAGGCTACAGCTGCAATTCATACTAGCCCTGTATGAATTGATAGAATTATTTTATGGTGTGCTTCAGACTTATCCCTTAATAAAACATGAACAAATACATACAGTGAACTATTTATGAGTATTTTTATTATCTGACATACATTTCACAGCAATGTATTATTTATTTTTCTTAAGTGAAAAAGAACTTAAAATGCAGCCACACATCTAATACTTTACACTGAAAACTGAAGGTATTTTAGATTTACAATATAACTGTATAAAAAAGTGCAACAAATAAATCTAGGAATCTAAAAAATGATATATGAATAATATAAGAAAATAACCTCTTTATAACTTAAAGTCCAGAAACAATTTTGTTAAATACACGGCATTTCAGTTTTGACAGCGGCTGGTCATCCAGAACAATAAACTCGATAATTTTGTCGGTTATATTTATCGGTCGTTGGCTGTCTTTTGAAACCTTTCTCTTCGTTTGAATGAAGCTTCCAGAGATTGTTGATTCTGGCGCGGCTAATCCTTCTCTGCCCTTGCCATCGTGTTCTGCGGGGTGACACGTCTTCAAATGCTTTAAGTGTTGAAGCTGCTAATCTTGTGCCACCCCTCGAAATTGCAGTATGCATATGAGACATGTCGCCGTTTTACTGGCTGGTTGGTCCAGTCTTAAATACTGCCAAACAGCGGAGATACTGCTAGCGCGCGCGCTTCTTTGCTGCTCTAAACAGTGGTTGCTTGTGGCAACAGCACAACTTCCACAAGCAACCGCTGTTTAGAGCAGCGAAGAAGAATTGATCTCCGATTTGCAGCATTAAGCAAAGCTAACGTGCATAACTAGTTATTGTTTAAGAAAAGGGTATCGGATCGGTACATGGGTAGAAGTACTCGCCAATACCGATGCCAGAATTTTTATTGGTATCGGCGGCATTTCCGATACTAGTATCGGAATCGGAACAACTCTAATTAGTATGCCATTCATGGGTTTATCTCCCCCAAAAGTGTAAACATTGAGCCTCCCAGGCACCATCTACACTATTACACTATTTAAAGGAACACTCCGACTTTTTGGGACTTTAGCCTATTCACCTTATCCCCCAGAGTTAGATAAGTCCATACATGCCTTTTTCATCTCCGTGCGTGCTATAAGTCTGTTTGACGCACCCACCGCTAGCCTAGCTTAGCACAAAGACTGGATGTAAATGGTTGCAGCTAGCATACTAATCCAAATAAGTGACAAAATAACGCAAACATTGTCCTATTTACATGTTGTGATTTGTATAGTCACAGAGTGTACAAAAAACAAAGTCACATGAGAGACAGACATATTTTAACAGTATAAATACTGGGAACTATATTCTCTGAAGGCGAAGCACTGCTACTTGGGCGGAGTGATAACCGCAGCACCTGAGACGCGCTCTCTGCTCCTCACCACGGCACGTCTCGGGTGCTGCGGTTATCACTCCGCCCAAGTAGCAGTGCTTCAAACAGACTTATAGCACGCACGGAGATGAAAAAGGTATGTATGGACTTATCTAACTCTGGGGGATAAGGTGAATAGGCTAAAGTCCCAAAAAGTCGGAGTGTTCCTTTAATTCACAAAAAAATTCAAATAAATTGTGCATTATTCATGGACATTCACTAACTCTTTTGCCTTATTTTCATTTGTCTAGAGGTCAATCTCCCATGCATGTCCTCGGCCAGTATGGGAAGGAGAACGCGGCAGCCATCTTTGAGCTGTTTTTAGAATGCATGCCTGAGTATCCCCTGGATAAACCTGACAATGAGGGGAACACAGGTTGGTGAAGCACAAGCGGTTTGATTATACTGAATGTGCATTTTTAAATGGATAATTTTCCATATTAATAATAACAATAGCCATTTTGCTTGTCAGAAACAAACACTGGATCAATGATAGGTGATGTTTTTCTCCTTTCAGTGCTTCTGTTGGCTTACATGAAAGGAAACGCTAACCTGTGTCGTGCCATCGTGAGGGCTGGAGCTCGACTCGGCGTCACTAACAACCAGGGCATTAACATCTTCAACTATCAAGTTGCCACTAAGCAGCTTCTGTTCCGTCTGCTAGGTAAAAGATACAGATAAAATGTTTCTACAACATTTACAGTGCTTGTAGTAGTTATACCTAACTAGTCTTTTGTATCATGTTTTAAAAGACATGCTTTCCAAAGAGCCCCCGTGGTGTGATGGATCAAACTGCTATGAATGTATAACCAAATTTGGAGTCACCACCAGGAAACATCACTGGTATGTAGCCAACCAACTAAGTTTAATCTGTCTGACTTTATAAAGAATGAAGACCTTGTTTCCTCCTTTCATTGTTTCTTTTCAAACCATAACTCTTCCCTCCATTTATGATGTTTTGTCATCTTCCCTTGTCCTAACAACCCATTCTTTGTCTTTTCTTTCTCTCATAGCCGCCATTGTGGGCGTCTGCTCTGCCATAAGTGCTCTATAAAAGAGATCCCCATCATCAAATTTGACCTGAACAAACCTGTGCGTGTATGCGACATCTGCTTTGATGTGCTGACATTGGGCGGCGTGTCCTAACACACTAGAGGACCTTGAAGAACGGGCACCAGCCGAGCGGAGTATGAACCCACAGGCTGGGCCTAGCACTAAAAGGATGGAGAAATGGAGTAAGACACATTGAGAAGAAGAGCCCTTGAACAAAACCATTCCATTCTTGTCAAAGGAAAAAATACCACCATAACAATGTGTTTGTTCTAGCAGTTCTTTTTAGAACCAAAATATTAAAACAAGTGGAATGCAGATGCAAATGTAAATGTAGTTCCGAGTTCAGCTTTCGACAAAAACCAAGTGTGATTGAGAAGGGCAAGTATCATTTACTACAAAAAAGAAAAGAAAATGAACCATAGGGGTTTTATACAGGGCTAATGTGCTATATGGACAAATATGATTTAAATATTTCTTAATTTCCCATTAGAATGACAAGACTAGTATGATTCCCACCTGCAATTGTGCTGTCAGCAGTCGAATTGACTTTCTACAGATTGGTCGATCAATATTTCAAGGAAGTTTGTTTGGTATTGAATGTTGCTTGATATGAAAGAATCTATAAAAGGTAAGTAGTGTGAAGCCTTAATCATACTGCGCGGGGTCTGCGAGGTGTTAGATTTAGGTTTTGAACACATTTTAACCTCTGGAGAGATCCAGGCAAGGACATTTCTCTGGAGTTCAAATCAAAACACTAAGAGAGAGATGGAGAAATATACCTTGCTGGGTTTATGTTATTAGTAAAATGATCACTCAATCATGTATTAATCTGCATATTCAGTGGACTTTATTTTAACTGATCCATTAGATTTAACGTCATACTAAAATTTGAGGAACATTTCAGATGTGTAAGTGTTCTTGAAGTGGAATTCAAATCGTTACTTGTGATTCTATTAAGTCAGACAGGTGCAGAAATACATGCGCAGAATTCTGATATGCTCACTATGCATATGCATGACATTTGTAGCCTGTTATTATTGTCATCATAAATTACACTTTATTCATTTCTGATCACCAAACGATACATTCCAGTTAACCTTTTCAAAAGTCTTCTTGGTGGCGTAATGCGTCACATTGTTTCCTATCATATTTTAAATGCTTTTTCATGTCCATGCTTAACAGGTGCACTTTATCAAAGTTTTTTTTTTTTTTTTACATTTCTGATCACATTTCAAATGAGATTGGTTTGTTTGTGGGGGGAGGGCAGGGAAAGGGCCAAGTCCACAGTCTGTTATTGGTATTGTTAAACTGTACAGATAAATGTATAATATTTTTGACCACTACAACTGTTTTGTACTTAATGCAGGTTGTGCTTTTTTTGTCTATGTGACAAACCTACAATTGGCCTCTGTTTAATCTTTTCTGCATATTGTATGGTATCTGTATGCTCAGATATTTAGCCTGTCGCCGCCTCTAGTATCCTTTTCAAGAAAGGGAGGACAACTTTACATAAAGGACAATTGAAAAAACAAATCTATAAAATTGTCTTTTATTTAACAGTCTTGATTCTATGGCATAAATAATATACTCTTGTCACAAATTGCAATGGAATTAGAGGTAAAAACTAAGAAGAGAAACTATATAATTGGAAACAGAACTAGCAGCATTGGTCTCTTGCAATGTGCCTGCTATAATAAACCAATCATAAAAACATGAAGACAACTAAATGAAAATCTTGAGAGTCCTTGAAATCCAAATCAAATTCACTGACACTTGTAGTGTGGTGAGGATTTGTAGCTCAGTCTTTAGTGATTTGGCAGGATTCTGCTTGAGGAGGACAGGCCTTGTACTCTCTGAGGTTTCGGTTCTCTGAGTGAACAGGATCGGACGGTTGGATACACACACATCGGGAATGACCAGACCCAGGGGAGAAAAGCATTCTGGGTACTCCAACCCAGTCTCTGTGAATGCCACCGCTACAAAGGAAAACCTGTGTTACATTTTTCCAGAAAATGTATCGAATGTTGTCCGAAATAAAAAAAATCAAAGTACCTCATTGTGGAGCACCATACCCGTCCCCCGCTGGCTTCGCTCCACTCCGAGTTACAGGCTGGGTACAGCTGCATCTCACTCTGAGCCTGGGCCTTTTTCTTCAACCCCTCTGACAAGAAAGCTTCAACACGTAGCAAAGCGTCAGTGGGCTGCCCGGTTTCTGTGTAGAATTGGCCTATCAGTTTACCTGCAGCACAGGGGTCATACAGACAGAGACCTTAAAGCAGGGGTAGGCAAGTTCGGTCCTAGAGAGCCGCTGTCCTACAGAGTTTGGCTCCAACACTGAAAAAAACCTCTCCTGCCTATAGCCCTAGTAATCCTCAAGACATTGATTAGCTTGTTCAGGTGTGTTTGATTAGGGTTGGAACTAAATTCTGCAGGACAGCGGCTCTCTAGGACCGAACTTGCCTACCCCTGCCTTAAAGGGACCGTTCACCCTAAAATCTGTCATACTCATGACAATTTTCATTTGTGGGTGAATTATTGCAACAACTTAGCAATGAATGTGGAGTGCATTATATAAAAATATCTAAGATCTTACAAGTATTACACCATAGAAGTCTTACAAGTAATTGAATTATCAGTTCTTTAAATAATTCAAATATATATCAACATTTTTCTTGAAAATAAAAGTATTTTCTATGAAATATGTTTATCAATGTAACATTTTGTATGGAAGTAAAATAATGTCAACTGTTTTTGAAATAAAAAGCCTGTTGAATTGCACTACTTGAAAAAAATAGGCATTGCATTAACCATGCTTGCATTTTTATGCATTGTATTTTTAGGGCTTGCATTTTTATGGGCTGAAATTTAGCATGGTTGAATATTTAAGCTGTGAATATTTCAATTAAAAACATTTCAAACACATTTTCATTATTACAAATTAAATAATCCATATTCACCATTCATATTTCATTTCCAAAATATTCAAACTGTTTAAAAATACAACCAATAATATTCAACAGGCAATTTTCGGTCCATTTTATTTCGCTTTGCAAATTCGCTTCCACAAATTCAGTGGTTCAAATTCGACAGTAAATTTAACATTGACGTCCAGGAACTGCAGGAAAAGCAGAAGATTGCCGAGCATAATCTCCATCTGCTGTTAGTCGACCTCACCAGCAGGGGGTGCAAAAGCGCTTGTTGTTGACGAAGACATTCATTCATAAAATGGAAATGATTATCTGTGACAGTATATGCGGAAAAGATGATAAACACACAAAAGCTGTGTTTGTTTCATTCAATAACTTCATTGTTACTTTCCCTGTGTATTCTACATGTCATCAGCTTTCTCTACCATGAACAGGATTAATCGGTTTCCCTCAATACCTCATACTCAAGGATTCCCTTTCCGTTGGGACAAAACGCTTAACACATACAGTGATATGAAAGACCAATCTTGCACCTTATTGGGGATGTAGGCTGTAGCTACTATATAGGCTACAGGCAAGAAGATGGACTCAGATAATAAACTTTACGCGCAAAGTTTCATGCTGAGCGTTTCGTGATATACTGGCATAAAATCAACACTTGATCAATTAATACTAACACTTTCTATTCTATTCTATTCTCTCTCTCTCTCTCTCTATATAAATACTTTTTATAGAGAGAGAGAGAGAGAGAGAATAGAATAGAATAGAAAGTGTTAGTGTGCTCAGTGCTCAGAAGCAGTGGATTTGTATTTGTAGGCTGCTGTATCACGTGCCGTTTGAACTGACGCGCTACAGCGATCTGTCACATTTCAAAGAGCCAAAACGTTATTTATTGTGTGAATCTCGTAAAAATATTGACAGAATCTGACAGCTGTGGATTTGTTCCATATCAAAAGTAACCTTTTCTGTATTGTCTGTCGGTGTCAGTGTCCTCTTTGTCCGCGATTTTTCTGTGTGAAAAGGGTCATTTGCGTGAGTCTTATGGTCAATGCGTGAGAGTTGGCAGCTCTGCCTGCTAGTAATCTCTATTAATCTCCAGTATTATTACATTGTTTGATACAATATTGTTTCATTTGATATTATGTAAATATGATTTTTTATTTTTTATTGGTTTTATTATTACCATATGTTACTTGTATTTATATTGTTTAAAGATTTAAGTTAATATTGTGTCCAGTTTGGCCCTGTAAATTAAAGGGTATTATTTTTTTATAAAGTGTGTACGGTTTCATTTTCTTAAGTACCGATTCAAGAACCGTTTAAGCACCGGAACCGTTTAAAAAATACCGAGTAGGTACTGGAATCGGATAAAACCCAACCGATACCCAACCCTAATTATGAGTGACATCATCGTGTGGTACCCACCTACTGGAGTGTAGTCCCTCTGATAAAATGACAGCCAGTCATAAAGAGCCACAATCTGGGAGTCCGAGAAATCCGAGACATCGCTAGACAAGCCAGACTCTGTGAAATCCCCTGTAATAAACGCCCTAGACGCGTCTTTTCCTGCACAAACACACATTTTTAAAGAATCTCTATGCGGTAGCATCACTCAAACATCTTTCTTGTTAAAATGCATGAACTAACCCGTAAAGAAATGGTAACCGCCACCAGGGCCGTAATGTTTCCTCCCCTTTTCAACGTCAAACACCTGTCCTAAGATCGCCAGGTACAATCCTTTACTGTTGTCTCCTCCGTTGTATAAAGACAGCTCATCTTCGGTCAGCATGCGTCCAGGTGGAGATGCTGACACATCACTGACCTGCTGCCGCAGCCACGACTCTAGTACATTCACAACATTGCCATAGATCGGGAATGTGAGCCACTCGGGCACAGTCCACACGGCCAGGACCATTGAAATAAGAGCTACTAAATACTTCAGCATTGTACAGACAAACTGTCAGGCAGTCAGTATTTAAAATAAGAAGCAATTGCATTCCGTACCGAGTATCTCAGTATCTCATCGGATTCAACAATATCCATCATGTCAACATGTTTCCGGGTGTGGAAATGCGCATGCGCAAAATCTATAAAAAATAATCTTTTTTAAATAGAGCTTAAATGTGTTTTTATTCAGTGAACAACAACATCAATCGACACTATTGACAGCAACCAAAAGAAAGATAAGAGAGAAATAAACGCCAGGGTGAATTAAAAAAGTACACTGTGACAAATTTCAAAATAAAGTAGGCAGAATTCAAATAAATATGATTTAAATATTTTGGCTCTTGGTGGTTTTTTAAATTGAAAGAAAAAACTGCCAAAGTACGGCCTGGTTACTCTTATAAATCTATATATTTGGGTATTCTATTAGTAAATGATTTTTTTTTTAAATAGGCTACATGAAATTTGGTCAAAATTACAATTAAAATGCACTTTTATTTGCCGATTGAAGTGTTTGAAATAAATACTCTGTCACATTATTATTAACAACATTTGCCAGAAAAGTAACATATAGATTTGTACAGTGATTAGTACATGTTTTAAAGGTTTCCACAAGGTTTGCATAACCTGTCAAAAGTTTGTTTTTGAAGTCTCTTATGCTCACCAAAGGCTACATTTATTAAACAAAAAATACAGTAAAAACAGTAATATTTATTAATAATATAAATAAATAAACTGTTTTCTATTTGAATATATTTTAAAATGTAATTTATTCCTGTGATGACAAAGCTGAATTTTCAGCATCATTAGTCTTCAGTGTCACATGATCCTTTAGAAATCATTCTAATATGCTGATTTGTTGCTCAAGAAACATTTATTATTATTATCAATGTTGAAAACAGTTGTGCTGCTTTACATTTTTGTAGAAATGGTAAAAAAAATTCAGGATTCTTTGATAAATAAAAAAGTTCAATTAACAGCATTTATTTGCATTTATCAAATTTATTTATTGAATTAATTAGTTAATTAAATTAATCTTAAATCTATTTTTTGTAACATTATAAATGTCTTCACTGTCACTTTTGATCAACTTAATGCATCATTGATGCTGCATCTCTCTCTCTCTCTCTCTCTCTCTCTCTCTCTCTCTCTCTCTCTCTCTCTCTCTCTCTCTCTCTCTCTCTCTCTCTCTCTCTCTCTCTCTCTCTCTCTCTCTCTCTCTCTCTCTCTCTTTATTTTCTATTTTTAAATCTTACCACAAATGTTTGAATGGTATTGTTTCCACAAAATTGTTAAGCAGCAAAACTGTTTTCTACATTGATGATAATAATAAAATAAATGTTTCTTGAGCAGCAAATCATCATATTAGAATGATTTCTGAAGGATCACGTGACACTGAAGACTGGAGCAATGATGCTGAAAATTCAACATTAACATCACAGGAATAAATTACATTTTTAAATATATTAAAATAGAAAACAATTATTCTAAATGTAAATAATATTTCACAGTATTACTTTTTTTAATTGTATGTATGATTAGGTTAAATAAATGCAGCCTGGGTGAGCATAAGAGACTTAATTCAAAAACATTTAAAAAAAAATGTCGTTTCCAAACTTTTGACAGGTTCTGTATATACAGTTAGTAATAAAATGTAAAATATATAAATTAAAAAAGGCTATATGGTATTTCCCCCACCCCAAAAAAAGTAGGCATAAAAAACAAATCTATTCTAAATCCTTTAAAATGAATCTTGCTTAATTACAATTATAAAACAAATACAAATTTATTATATATTAGTTCATTTTTCACAGATTCGCAGTTCACAGGTAGGCCTATATCAAATGTTCCTTTGTTGAACATTTTTAAAATAAAGAATGACCTTTCTTCCTTTAAATTGGTTTCGGATTTTTTTTAAATAAAGAATGACCTTTCCAGATAGCCAACAAATAACTAAACTTAACAAGTAACTAAACAGCTTCGAAAGTGACTAGTTATTTGGCCCAACATTAAAAAATGAAATAAATCAAATACTGGCGGTGATACGCTAGGGGGCGTGTTTCCAACGCAGCGGGCGTCGCTGAGCTCACGGAAGGGACCAAAGTTTTTTGCTGACAAACATGACGTCAGCTGGCGGAGCCCGTCAATGCGGTAGTGACAGCGGAGGAACGCACTGACTGGAAAAGCACAAGCCTGACACTAAAACTAAGCCTGAATACTGGGCTGAAGGCGATCGGAAGAGAGCCCGAGGCCGCAGAAGAACAGCATGGGGAACGCGGAGAGCGGCTGTGGCGCGGGGAGCGGCGATGAGGAGGACGTAGAAACGGAGAGTCCCGTGTTCGCCGAGGGCAGCCCGGCCTCTGCGGCCACAGGCACCAGGGCCGGCAACGAAGGTGGTGGTGGTGGTAATGGTGGTGGTGGTGGTGGAGGAGGAGGAGCAGCAGCAGCAGCGGCGGCGGCGGCGGCGGCAGGCTCCGGCCAGGGGAAAAGCGTAAGAAGTGCGGCGAACCCTCCGGCACCGATCTACGGACTTCCCACCCCTGAAGCTCTACTGGAACAGGTGAAGCTGCGAGAGGCAGCGGCCCGTATGAGCGACTCATGGGTCGCCATTTCGGAGTCGGTACTGGCTCGCAACGAGAGCGCTCTGGTGCGCTGGCTGGAGGAGCGTCTGAGCCGCGGAGAGGAGTCCGTGACCCTGGAGCAGTTCTGCGAGATGCTGGAGACCAGAGACGCCACCAGAGAGGAGTGCGAGGAGGTGAGGAGACATGCCACTCAGACGAGCAATGTATCTAGTGGTTTAAATTCTTGCCAATTCGGGTAACTGAAAGATCGAAGGCTCAAAACCCAAGAAGGGTGTTGTTTATAGACATCGTAGACAGTTCACAAAAGCGCCTTAGCCCCGGTTAACTAAATACGTAATATGTATAGAAATAATGTTTCACTGTGACTAACAACTCAAAGTTGTGTAATTGACCCCACGGCTCTACTAATCTGTGAGTGGTTATATTGTGTAATCTCTATATTTGTATCACACGTTTGATAAAGGCTGTTTATTGGCTGTCTCTCCACCTAGTTTACTTCCAATCTAAACGGCATTTTAAGTTATTATAGGACTGTCATTGTTAGATTTTACTTTGTCTTTTTTTGATTGGCAGCTACAGGTTTTGATTAGATTGGCCAATTCATATTGACTGCAGATGAGTCAGACCCATGCATCTAGTGCAAGGTCTTTCTGTACTGTACTGTACTGTACTGTACTGTACTTGCTAATAAATATATTATAAATGCTTTAGCAAATGAAATTTCACAAATCTAACTTTTAAAACGTATTTCTACATTTGACATCTGACTATTGGCTGCCAATTTGTATAAGTAAAATATATTTTTTACACACACACACGCACATGTATACAATATGTGTGGGATAGGCTAAACCATAGAAGTCTTGGAGTAGTGGACTAGTGGGTGTCCATAATCACAGGGCCTGGGGAAAATGTCCCCAAAGTCAACCCTGATTAAATTTAAAGCCTCTCCGTAGCGTATGATATTGAATAAATGTGTTATTCTTCTGGGATTGGCTCACAACATCACCGTTGGTTATAACTGATGGCTAGTGTTTATACATTGCTTATACAGTGTGGTACTTTTATATGTACCTTGGTGCTGAGTGATTATTTTATTCATGTACTATGGTATTTACATGGTATTCTAAGACAAATCCAAAACATGGTTGAACTACGGTACTTTTTGTGCCTTTCCTGATTTAACCATGACTCTCTTTCATTTGCTTTACAAATGATTCGCATGCTGGCTCGAGTGTGTTTATGTAGGTGAAATAGACAGCTGGTTTGAGAGAGCTAGAGAGACTAGCAGCAGCATGACTTTTTTGTTTGTTCGTCTTCTCCTTTGTGTCCTGATATATGTGTAATAGAATGTACAGACAGAAAAATCACCTCTTCCTTTTGTGCACTTTAGGCCTTTGGTCAGTTTGATGCTGAGGGTGATGGGATTATTGATGTGGAGAACATGCTCATGGCACTGAAGAACTCCAATGGAGCCAATCTTAAGGGAGAACTCAGTCATGTGATCAGGCAACTTCAGGCGTGCTCTTTGACACCAGGTATGAAAGCAGTTATATTTATTTGAATGCAGTGGTGACAGGAGCACAGATGTCCATAGTTGACCATTCTGGGGGATTATGAAATTGACTGTCAGTGTTTGACCCAGATGTGTTCCTCTTTTACCCTTCATGCTTATCCAGGATTTGTGGATATCTTCTCCAAGTCCAAGGACCGCCTCAAAGCACATGCCTCCAAAATTCTGAAATTCTTGCACCGGAATCGCATCCCCAGCAGTGCCATCCCATTCCCTGTGCTGGAAGGCTACAACAGCATCTGCACCATGAGGTCATCTGTACTGCAAGACTTCCTGGAATACCTGCTGCAGAAGGAGAAAGGTGAATGGCAAATGGGGAGTGGGCTCATAACAACAATTTCTATATGTGTGTATATATATATATATATATATATATATATATATATATATATATATATATATATGTGTGTGTGTGTGTGTATATATATATATATATATATATGTGTGTGTGTGTGTGTGTAGGCCAACCCAGAAGTTAGCATCTTCCTGGTCCTCGACAAAAAGCCAATAGGAATTTCCATTGGTTTGTGGATTATTGCAGAAAATAAGCTCTGTGACCAAGAAAAGTTTAATATTCTTGCACGTTTTGTTCATCAAGATAATCTTCACAAATGAGTGAACTAGGGATGCTAACGATTAATCGACTAAAACGTATCAATCGTCGATAAAGCAAGGCAATGCGCGCGCGTGCTGCTCAACCGCGAAACAGGAGTTTCACAACCGGAGTTACACATTGTGACTAGCTCGTAGCTTAGTTCAAGTTAGCTTGTGCATTAGTGTAACTTTGTGCAGATATAATTTGTAACATCATGTTTATTTTGTATATATCTGATTAATCTCATATAGGATGCGTTTTGTTGAGTTAAATAACCCGCTAGCAAAGCTCCGTTTACCTGTGTTCATTCAGCGCTTCAGCTTTAGCACGCGCAGCTCAAACAGCAGTGCACAACTAATATAATTGGGACTGTCATATTACATAACATTTTAATGAGAACACTATTTTAATAAATTCTTTGGGTTTAGTTGCCGTGTTAACATGAGTTACACATTCTGAACAGCACGCATCTGAGGCTCCGTTGGTGACACGTGGTATTAGTCGTTATATTTGATTATTAAATAATCTAATTTAGACTAAAACCCTTCTCATTCATTTGGCGAGGAACATGGCATTTTGAGCAGGATTTGCAGACCCTGTCATGCGGTTGGCTATATGCCACTGCTGTAGATGCATATTGCAGTATTAAGGCTAACGATTCATCAGTTAATTGATTGTTAATTTAAACAACGATCGATCATGGGAATTTGTGTAAATTGACATCCCTAGAGTGAAAACAACGTTTATGACGTTTAAAGCCTAAATAGGTTCACCAGAAGTTATAATAACAAACTACTATGACTTCAACATCACCACCACTAAGCTTCTGACAACTTTGTAAATTTAAATCATTATTTAAAATGTACTTGTTGGAAAGTTAGAATAGTTTGCAAGAGCACGAGTATAAACAACGAGGCTGTAAAAATGAACTAGTCAGTAGATGAGATTTTCTGTTTGGCGTGATGTTTAAAGATGAAGTATGTAGTTTCTGCGACATAAGTGGCAATTACAAAAATAAAATGTATTTTCAACGTCAAAAGTAGCGAGTTATTTCGCAATGCCCCGTTTGCTTTGAAGGTCTAAATTTAGTAAATTTTGGCTTGCACTTTTGTACCCAAAGCTGAAAGTCTTTTCCCATGTAAAACATCAGCCATGATCCCACACCGGCTAAACACCCTCTGGCTCAGCCGGCTACAGTAGCCACGCCCCAAACTCATGCTACAGAGAATGAGAATGTGACATTTCACTCCGCGTTGCATTTCGGGAAGGCGTCGCCATATTGGAAGGATACGCTATCCGTGACCATGGTTACTTTGGCAGTGAGACCGAGAGAAATAGCGACAGAGAGAGAAAGAGCTGCTTGATATTCGTTTGTATTTTTGTGATACGGTTGAATAAATGGAGAAATAGGATGCGAAAGGAAAGGGGCTCTATCGGGAGAGACAAAATAACAACGCCAGGCAGCGTTATTTAGAGAAACTGCTTGGCATCAACAACATGGAGACCTGCAGCTACAGAATGGACGAAAGGCACTACCCCCTTTCACACACCCTAACATAGTCAATTACCTGGTTTATGGTATCAGTGGGTGCCTACACAATGCAAGAGATTAGAAGCTTATGAACATTTCTGATGTGGCTGGGTGCAACTCACAAACCCACAAACCTGTTAACTGCGAGAGCTCAGTCGAATACTTGAGGTTTCAGGCGTCATTCATAATTGGAAATAAATCTAATATGAATCGGATGTGCATTTGGACCCGCCGTGTAAGCGGACAGATCGGATATTCCAAACAGTTCAGATATATCTATAAGAAATTAATCAACTCTAGTTGACTAACAGAGTATTCATTTCGTTCATTTGTGTAAAAAAAACAACAACAAAAAAAACATCTGGCGCTGAAATGTGTTGCTTTTGAAATCATGCTGAGTGCTCGTTGTCGCTGCTGTCAGTTTAGTGACGAGCAGTTTCTCTAAATAACAATGCCTAGCGTTGTTATTTTGTCTCTCCCGATAGAGCCCGTTTTCTTTCACTTCCTCCTTCTCAATATCTTCCCAATAAACCGTGGCGTCTCGCTAAAATACAAACAAATACTAAGCTGCGCTCTCTCTTTTGCTATTTCTCTCGGTCTCACTGTCGAAGTAACCATGGCAACGGATAGCGTAACCACCTAATATGGCTGCGCCTTCCCGAAATGCAACGCTGTGTGAAAAGATCGTGACGTAATAAATCCTCATTCTCTATTGGTTGAGCTGGAAAGAGATTGAGATTGATATTAAACCCTTACCTTTAATATCCCTGACAACCTCTGTAGCCCCATTTAGCTACTTATCAAATCTCGTGTAAAAGTAAAAAAAAAAAAAAAAAAATCAGGTATTACTGATTTTATGTTGTAGAATAAAACAAGTAAATACTGTATGTGTTAACCACAGTCCTTATTTCAGTCATTTAACCAAAAATCCATTGACTTTGGGAAAATGGAACGACAAGGGCAAAAATGCTAACTCATTTGCAGGTTTTAGGACTCATTACTGCTGCATTCTGTTGAAAACAAAACATGAATTTAACCATTTTCATTTTGTGCTACTAGTGGTGAAATTTACTGTGGATAAAACATGCAAACATTTTCTTCCATCTCCTCCTTTGGCCTTCATCTTCATATTCTGATGAATCTCCTTTCAGATCTAGACATCCAGTACAGAGCGGAGCTCAATCATGACCCAGATATGGATAAGGTCAAAGTGGTCACCCAGTGCTACAGCTTCATCGAGGCCTCGTCCAATAGTGCAGATATCAACAAGCTGACCAACGGTGAGACAGTGTCTTTCTGGCAGTCGGACGGCAGCGCTCGCTCACACTGGATAAGGCAAGCTGCTTATTTCATTGGTGCATCTACATGCAGTTAAAATATAGCTGATGATGTCACAAATTCTATTATCTTTGCTAAATATCTAGTTAAATATGACCACTTCCTCTGACTCATCTCTTTCACAGGTTAAAAATGAAGCCAGACATAGTTTTGAGACGGTTGGCTATTGCGGTTGCGTCTAATGACCACAGCTACATGCCACAGCTTGTGTCTGTAGCTGTAGGGAAGAGCCGGCGTTCCATGCAGGAGATCAGAGATGTGAGGATCCCCAGTAACGTCACGGGATATGTACCACTGCTAGAAAATGCCAACATCAGCCATCCCTGTGAGTACACGCTTGAATAGCACAGTGTTTTGTTTGAAGTTTAAAGTGGGACACTGCTGTTCAAATGTTTGGGGTTTTTGAAAGAAGTCTCTTATGCTCACCAAGGCTGCATTCATTTCATTAAAAAAAAATTTTATATTGTGAAATAGTATTACTATTTACTCCTGTCTTCGGTGTCACATGATCCTTCAGAAATCATTCTGATATGCTGATTTGGTGAAATCAAGAACATTTCTTATTGTTATCAATGTTGAGAACTTTGTTCTTTGTAGAAACAGTAATGCAGTTTTTCAGGATTCTTTGATGAATAGAAAGTTCAAAAGAACAGCATTTATTTTAAATATAAATCTTTTGTAACATTATAAATGTCACTTTTGATCAATTTAATGCATTCTTGTGGAATAAAAGTATTTTTTTTTTTTTTTTTTTTAAATCTTACTGACCCCAAGCTTTTGCACACTTGTGTATATGTATTTTGAATTTGCATACTATGATTGAAATGTAAAGAGTGACTGTATTTTTGTGTATTTCAAGTATATACTACTCTAATTCTATCCACATGCATGTTAGAAGTCAGAAAGCCCTTGCAAATTCACACATATCTTCCTTTTGTCTCTCAGATATTCAGATTAACATTAAGCGCTGCCTTAGCGATGGCTGTGACACACGTATTCACGGTCTGAAGACAATGGGCTACCAGATCACCAAGAGCAAAGAGGTTTCAGTATCTGACGCCTCGGCTATATGGTATCTGTCTCTCCTCACGTCTCTGGTCACCGCTTCCATGGAAACCAACCCTGTGCTTGCGCAGACAGTCCTACAGAGCACACAGTGAGTCAAGAAAAATGACTATTGAGTTTTGCTTCTCACGAAAGCTTGGTAGTGATAGCACTATACAAATCCAGCTTTTGATTTACATACCCTGGTTTCACAGACAAGGATTAAGCCTAGACTAAAATGCATGTTTGAGCTGTTTTAACTGAAACAACTTGCACTATATGTCAGTGTCTCAAGATGCACACCAGTAATGTTTGTTTTTTTCTAAGGCATATTTATAAAAGCTACTTCAATGTCCTAATTGAACTAAGGCCTAATCCTGGCTTAATCTAAACCCAGTCTGTGAAACCAGGCCATAGTGTCCTAGATGGAAACTTAATGTTTCGTCCTCTACTTTGCCTGATGCATTTTAATTTTAAAATTGACAATCATAATTTTAGAGACATTTACACTACCGTAACTATTCAAAGGTTTCTTTTTTGAAAAAATGATATACTTTTATTCAGCAATGTTGCATTAAATTGATCGGAAGTGACAGTAAATACATTTATAATGTTACAAAAACATTCTATTTCAAATAAAATGCTGTTATTTTTAATGTTTTATTCATCAAAGAATCTTTAAAACTATATCATGGTATCTGTGAAAATATTAAGAAGCACAACCATTTAATAACATCATAAACATTGATATTAATAAGAGATGTTTCGTGATGTTATTTAATTGATTAAATAAATGCAGCCTTGGTAAATATAAGAGACTTCTTCCAATAACATACAATTATTTTTACCCACCCCAAGCTTTTGAATGATAGTATGGTTTTGTTCTGATTAATCCCATCATTTGTTCAGAACAATTAATTTCACTGTGTTTTTTTTTACCCTTTTTGTTCTCCAGGAAAGCCTTACAGCACATGCCACCCCTGTCCTTAACACCGTCTTCAACGGAGTTCCCCAAATTCTTCTCTGCGAACATTCTGGAAGAGGTGGACAGCTTTTTACTGCGCATAGCAGAGTAAGAATCAAGCTGTACAAACTCAACTCAGCACGTTTAAATGTATTATTAAGAGGTCAAAACAATGCAAAACCCCTTTCGGTTTTTATACAATACGAATCAGCCTGATAATAATGGAAAACTCTTTTCTCTCAGTGAATAATTACAGCTGTTTTATCTGAATGTAATTTGACACTGCCTTTCTCTGCTGAGAAAGCTTATCAGAAGTGCTTTGCTTTTAACCGCCCCACCTCTCTCTAGCTGCTGTGTGTCTCCTGAGGCTGAGCTGACTCTGTTATCATTCGCTCTGGCTCGAGGCAGCGTGGCTAAAGTCCTCATCTCTCTGTCTGGTATCTGTGAGCATCTGGACTCAGAATACAGAGCTTCCTCACTGCTGGCCTCTATGGCGTCGGTCCGGTTAAGACTTCTCTACCGCAATGGTAATGGACATCAGTTCCATAGACAAAGGATTTTAATACTTTGATCATGAACTTCTACATATGATGATCCCCATAACTATTTATGAATGTGCACTGCAAGACAGGAGAGAAGAAAACTTTTTTTTTTCAGGGTTATTTTAGTATAATTTATATACTATTATGGCATTTATTCATATTTTAAATGAGCTTTTATTTTTATATGTTTAGTTTACATTTTAATTTTTAAGTTTGAGTAATATTGTCATGTGCTTTTGTCATTTTTTTTATTACGTTTTGTTTTTCTATTTAGCTTTTATTTTAATTTCCGTTTTAGTCATTTTAGTACTTCAACTTAAATGTATTATATTCCACCACACTTTTAATTTGTATCTCATATTTATAAACATTACTTTTTTCAACTAATATTTATATTTTATTTTCTTTCAGTTAATGAAAACTGAAAAATAGTTGTGATTTTAGTTAATAGCAACACTTATTTTGCTGTTTTTTTAAGCCTCTTTCAGTATTGCTAAAACGAATTTTCTAAAATATTTTTTCTCCTAAATTTCCTCATGGACCCCCTAGAAGCCCCTTTCAACCCAGGTTAAAAACCCCTGGCGTAGAGCAAAAACATTTATTTTGTTTGTTTGTTTTCCTGACTTAAGTTCCAAATTGCTTTGCAAAAATTTCATTTGCAGCTCCACATAGCTGTATTATAACTATCTAATATTGATGAGAAGAGATTAGTCATAACTGCACAAAATTTCACTTTCAGCGTTAAAAGACACAGCATTGTAATGCATGTAAACCTGTGTGTGTAGGTAAAGCCCTCCAGCTCCATCTGCAGGCATGTGATGTGAAGAGTAAAGAGGAGAAGTCTGGCCCCGAAAACATGCTGACGGAGCCCAACTCTGGAGATGGTATGCAAACCATATATAACATTCCAAATGGTCCTGGTTTTAAAAGATGTGTAGGGAGGGGTATTGTGGTCAAGTACTTCACAGATAAATCACCAGAGTACTGGAATGGATAGGGACGTCTTTTGAAACTTTTAAAAGCAAAAGTTGCTACTAAACTTTCTCTGTGGAGAAAATGAATATGATTTGAGCTGCTCTGTTTTATTCACATCATCTGTTTTGCTTAGAAACTAAGTACAAGTTGAGACTTTAATGTAGATGTTTCATTTGAAACTGCAGGTTTTCTGACAGAGAATGGAAAGAGGAAAGCCAGTGTGATTCTGTCCACTGAAAACCAGAGCTGCTTCCAGGTCACACAGATCAAGATAAAAGTGAGAGAAGCTTCAGTACACACTTGAACTTTTGGGTTTTATACTACATAAACATGAAATTAGAATATGTTCTGCTAGTATGGTTGGTCAGTTGGAAACACAAACTGATTTGATCTGCTCATCCTAGTTTTAATGCACTGCTGTGTTCTTCCACCTCAGGTGCGTAAAGGAGCCATTGGTGCTAAATGTGGCTTGTTGTTTGCCTACAATGACAGCGAGCCATTTGATGCCGATAAACATTTCAAAAGATTCAAAAAGTATGATAGCTGGGACTACAAAGACTATAAAGAATTTGTCCAAGACAGGTATGTCACATTCTTAGTCTGTAACATGTGCTTAGCTGTCGATTTATTTTGTATGGAGCTAATTTGCATAACATTGTTGGTCATAAGAGACAGCAAATGCTGATAACACGAACTTTAAATGGTGCTTGTTTAGGAGTGTGTGTGAGAATGTGTTGTCTTGGCCAGTGCATGTGAGTGTATTTTGGTCTTTGCATGTCTGCACACGGCCAAGATGGCTGTAAATTTAGTGAGAATGTTTTTGTCAGTCAATTGACCTCTCACTGTTATCTGCCTCTGTACCCCCCACACACTGTCACATGTATCACTTTCACATTCACACACAAACACACACACTTCAGCACAAGGATACCAGAAACCAGTGAGGAGGAGCCCATTGGCTGGTTTGAGGTGGAGGAGGACTGGAATGATGTGGAGATCAAGCTGCAACAATGCAGAGTGTCAAAAGTATGGACTTGCTGCCTTTCTTTCTTTCTTTCTTAAATACATGGAAATGGTTACTGCAGTTTGATCATTTTCTTTATTGCAACTTTCAGGTTTAAAAAAAAAAAAATTTAAGCAAAAATCATGGTTATGATAAAACCCTTAAAATGGACTGTTAAAACAGTCTTTTTACTTTGCTGTCTTGGCAAAGTAACCCAGTAGCTTTCACACCAAAAGTGCAAAGATACTTTAAATACAAGTGAGACAACATTAGAGGCTTTAAAATCAACTAATCTTAATGTAAGCTTGCAGGCGATTGTAAGAAAGGCTTAAGCAGACTGATTGGGGTCTGGCATACGTCACGAGAGAGAAGTCTGTTATTTTACTGGAAGACCGAATTATGACATTGATTAAAAATGATGAGGTCAACATTTTTTTTGAAACATGCATGGATGAATCATTCACAATAAGATCAATGACATGCGTTTAAAAAAATGCTGACTTTATTCACGTCTACGATTTCTTTTTCACTACTTTTTTCATTCTCTGCGGTGCTTGTCTGTTTTATTTCGTTTGGAAGTATATATTTACTGTAACAATTGAAAGACGAGTCAAAATGATGTTCTGAATGTCATTGTCACAAATTATTTGATCTTAACTTTAATTCAAAACATCTTTGAGTGGTTGCTATTGAATATGGAAACTTAAAAATCTGAATTTATATAAATAAGACAACACACACTTGATTAACCTAAACTTTCTCTGTCTCTGCATGTAGTTTCTGATGGTGAAGTTCCTGTGTGCTAGGCAGGACACAGCAGACCGGTTGGGGGTTCAGCAGATGAGTTTCAGTGGTTATTTGTGTCCAGACTCTGAGCGGATGGAGGATGTAGAGGATCTGAGTGCTCAGGCAGAGGGGAGCGTCTTAGGCCTGGTTACGGGTCTCACTCTCATGAAGAAAACCCTTTATTTCATCCAGCAGCTCACCAGAGATATGGTACACCCACCAAATGTCCTCTTGCAAGGGGTCTCACCATGACTTTGACCTGATTTATTTAAACACAACTCACAACTGAAATTCATAATGCATTTTTTTGTGCATAAATCTTTAAAGAGAGCTGTATAAACCCTGAGCCTATGTTACAGGATGTGTCTCTGTCCAAGCAGAAGTCTCTGCTGGACTTTAGTGACCTCAACCTGCTGCTGTTCTGGGACTTTTACCGCAAACTCAGATCCATGTGAGTAAAGCTGTAATATGAATGTTTGTGTATATTTATGTGCATATTTATAAATGGGATTTTGCAATATGACATAAAAAAAATGGTGCACTATTTCTAGGCCACTAATCAGAAAAGTACATTTGTGACATTGATCATAGCCGCCTTTCCACCGAAATTACCTGGAACATTTTGTCCCAGGAACTTTTTTTCCCCCCAGACCTGTTGCTGTCTGCGTTTCCATCGCGGTCTAAAGTACCGTGTAGATTAGGCAAATTAGTTTGGTGACATAGGGCGGCGCGCTCCTTTCCAGTTTCCGCTGGATTTCATCCTCTGAATTTAAGCTTAATAAAGCCTGAACTCTGTCGTCGGTCCATCTGTCGTATTTTTTAAACTGCATTGTTGATTCGAATATAGCAAACAACTCTTACTGCAAGCACCGGAACAGACTTTTAAAAATGGTGGTTGAAATAAAATCCTGCGTTGAGTCAACCAATTAAAATGCTGCGTGAACTCAACCAATCAGCATGTTCAAGTCCCACCCCTGAAAGTTCCAGAACTTTGAAAAAGTACTACCTCGCCAGCAGGGACTTTCCCTGAATTTTTACCTGGAACTTCATTTAGACCCTGGTTCCTGCGGTCGATACACACCGAGTACCACCCCAAAGTTCCTAGTTCCTGGGGAAAGTTCCTGTGGTGGAAACGCGACTCATGTGACTCTTTCTACAGATGTTTCGATTTCTCTGAAGTCCACTTGACATGAAATTTCAACAGTGTTCTTTGGTGTGACATGCTCTACTTCATTTAAAGGATCTTTTAAAATTAACTAATGAAGGCAAAAATAGAATACAAATTATAAACCGTTTTTTTTTTTAATACAGACTAGCCACAAGGAATTGAGATGAGAGTAGTGTGGCCTTGACTATTGTACAATTTCAAATGTAATTTATTCCTGTGATGGCATAGCTAAATTTTCAGCATTAATACTCTAGTCTTCAGTGTCGCATGATCCTTGAGAAATCATTCTGATATGTGGATTCGGTGCTCAAGAAACATTTCTTATTATCCACAATGTTGAAAACAGCTGTAGTGCTTAATATTAATGAGGACTAATGACGACTAAAAGGAATGTGCACGGACCGTTTATGGACAAACTTGTGTTTTCCATGATGTTTTTGCTTTTAGGAAATGTGCTGACTGATCAGTTTTTGTCTGTGTTAATGTGTTTCTCTGTTGTGTGTGTGTCTGGACACTCAGTGAGGGAGAAGAGGCTGTAAAGACACGAGTTCTCCTGCTTCAGCTGCTCCAGAACTGCTTCCCAATGCTGCCCAGCCTGACAGAGTCCCAGCCGACAGACGTCACAGCATCAGCATCAGCCTCAGCCAGCGCAGATGTGGACCCTGCAGAAGCTGTCGGAGAGCTCTACGATCACTTGTGTCAAGGTGAGACTCGCATACTGCTCTGTATGACTCAATGGCTCAAGAAACATTTCCTGTTATTATCAATGTTGAAAACTGCATAATATTTTTGTGGAATAATTTATTTGAAATAATTGAAATCTTCTGTAACATTATAAAAGTCTTTACTGTCACTTTTGATCAAATGAATGCATCCTTGCTGAATAAAAGTATTAATAGAAAAAAGAAAATGTGCTAACACTACTTTTGAACGGTAGTTTAGTATCAACTTTCCAAATAATATCAGTTAAAATTGATAGCCGAAAACTAAAGAGTTACGTCTTTAAAACATTTGCTTAAAAGCCATGTAGTGATGCCATTGTGTTTTGATTGGCGGTTAAAAAAGTAACCCATAGTTTTTGCGCTCTGCAGTGGTGGATGGGCCTGAAGGAGAGACTTCAGTGGATAAAGCTCTGAGGAAAGAAGCTGTGAAAGCCATTCTCAATGGAGCCGCCATCTTCTACCCTGACAAACAGAGCCGGAGGGACAAACTCTTCCTCTTGATGGTAAGACTGCAAGACTGTACTTCCCTTGGCTGAATATTGTTACTGAATTGCATTTATATGGGCACGTTTTTATTTTATTTTTTGCTGCTTTTCTCAGCAAAACATAACTGAGGAAAATCAACTGGAGTCTGTAAAACTGACATTCGAGTCTCTCTGCAGTTATTTCAGGTATGAAACACCTCCCTTTAAACTTGTACTCCCTGTCCTGTCCTGTCTTGTCCTGTAAACTGTATAACTGAATTTCCTGCTCAACACATTGTCTCTCACTCATCTCTGTTCGCAGTGATCATGACCCGAAAGGTCTCCTTATGCTGCCCCCTAAAGGAGCCCCGTCTGACTTTGACATCTCGCCTATCCTGACCGTCATGGACACACTGCTCATTGTGGCCACTAGAGAGGCATGTTGACAGCTGCCAACCTCATCTATTCAACCCCGGCTCACATACGATCTCCTGCAAATAGCCGACACATGCTTAGATGTTTACATTGTGCATTAACGTCTGTTAGCTGACACCTCGTATTGTAATGCATTGTGTTACAGCTCGCTAATAGGTTTCCCTTGTCTAGTAGCTTTGTAAAGAGTAATGTGATGTTTATCCATGTAAGAATGTCCCTCTCTTTTTTTCAGTGTGAGGTGTTGATGTTGGACTCCAGAGGAGGGTCCATTTGGAGGGTCCTGCTGTCTCTGTTCTGGGCTCTACAGGGAAGCCTGCTGTCCTGGTGTTTCCTGCAGCTTAAAGGAGGAACGGCCACCTCTGGTGATCTGGCCAGGGAAATTCTGCTTAAATGTTAGTGTGATTTTCTTGGTTTTCCAGTCTTCTTGCCAATAGCCCTTCAAAATACAGTGGGTTCCAGAAGTCTGAGACCACTGGTGGAAATGCTTCTATTGTACTAAAATATTTATATTTTAATGCCTTTTTCATTACACGTTGTATTATCAGCATAACAATTGAAAAGTTGAATTGAAGAGTTCGATCATGAGAACATTTCAAAGAGCCAAAATCTTGAGATTTAGTTTAGAATTTTAGATTTGTATTCTTCGATTTTCAGAGATCACTTTTGATCCCACTGTACTCCAAAGAGTTTTGCAATCTCTATAATGATGTAGTCAACCCTATACGGAAACTGAAACTTAAGTCGCCATTTGCTCGTAATTGTTTTTATATTACTCACTAGACCTTTTACATGGAATGCAAGAACAATGCAATTGAAAAAAATTTGACATTAATATAATATAAAATATACATTTCAAACACTATTAAAGTCATGTAAACAGTCTGTAATAAAATAAGAACAAATAATCAAACAACTAACAATAGCAAAAATATACAACAGAACAAAGATGCAAATGAAATAAACAGTGTTTTTCAGGTAAAATAACAATTCTTATCTGTATAAATTTAAATATTTTTTATTTTATTTATATTTATTTATTCGGCACAGTGCACATTAATGAACAATCTTACACTTGTGTAGAGACTGTAAATGAGCCAGATTATAGCATAAATGCTAATTTTCATCTGTAGTCCCAAGACAGGAAGACAACAACACAAAAGGATAATATGACAATATGCAGAATTGAATTGAATTCAGACAAATTACATTACAACAATAAAATTTGTCAAAATGAGGACATAACTGCAATATAGATGAATCCTTATTAAAGTTAAAAAAGTTATTCAGTCAAGATCGAGTGTTTTTTTTTTAAGTCTATGCGACAATGCGTAAAGCTCATCAGGGAATGAAATCATATCTGCGCTAAACTTATTTTTTGCCTCTATCTCAATTACAGGCGACTGTAATCGTACAAATCTATTAGCTATTGGCTAATTACAGACATTCTTTAATCTCCTCTTGTGAAATTGGGTTGCATATGCGAGTGATTTACTCCCATTGTAGAGAGTTGTGTTATCGAGTTTCAAGTGTTTTTATTTGTCTTCAGATATGCGAGTTCTGTAAAACAGCAAATGTTTGTGTAAAATTTCAGTAACTGCACTTTTTAGTTTAGTACTAAACTTTACTCTCAGGAGTAGCAAGACGATGACGACGTCTATGCGACACACCGAAGCAGTTTGTTTATACCTATGGATCCAACATGGCAGCAGACGCGAAGTTACCTTTCGATGCAGCCTTACGGCCGTTTTACACATAGGTTTCACACCGCAAGCGTGAGCGGCACTTGAGCAGCGCGTCGGCGTAACTACATCGTCACTGCAGCTGCAGACGCGCGAGAGTATTCACACTGGAAGCGTTTGTACAGTGTCACAGCAGCGGCTCCAAAGCTACATAAGCGAGCAATTCTTTACAAAGACAACTATACTTTTGTTTTTAGAAGTTGGTCATTTATAACATTGATAGTCTTGAAAGTTTGTAATGGGGAGGTGTACATTCGCATATAAATGTTAAACAACAAAACAACTCAGAAATGGCTCCAATCTATTAGTTTCAGTCATACTTTCGATATGTTTACAAGACTGCAAACTCTGCGGATAAAAAAACAAAACACAAATAAACCACACACTCGGGTTTGATTTGGGTTGTGCTAGCCTATGTAGCTGTCTGTGTGTTACATAAACTAAAAGAACGTTTATATATAGTATTTTCTGGCTAGTTTACTTTAGTTTTTTTTAAATATATATAATACGCAACTTTCACCCAAACTGAATAATTAAAAACAAGTTTTTACCGGGTAGCCTAAATCTTCTATAAATATTTTTGAGTCTTTATTTTCTTTTATTTGCCTACTCAAGTTCTTGTTAAAACTCACTAGACATGCTTATTCTGTGCATTTTGGGCACTTTTTGTGTGAAATCATATTTATTTTTGTCCATCAAAAGTGTGCTTTCACTTTAATTGAGCGTGAGCAGTGCAGCAAAAACAGATTCGACGCCGAAACCCCCGCTTCACTGCTGCTCACGCGCCGCTCCTGCTCGACGCTCACGCGCTGCTCCTGCTCCCGGTGTGAATGCACTTATTGATTAACATGCACGCCGGAAAAAATACGCGCCGCTCACGCATGCGCTGTGAAACAGCCGTTAGATACACGCCATCGTGTACACAGAAACTCTGACCTATCGTCTTCTTCCTCGTCTAATTTCATCTGGTATAATTGAAACGATTAGCTATACGTACAGGCGCATTTGATAGACATTCTTAGCACCCATTAAACGGCTCTGGGCATTTGTAAACCACGCCTCAAATACGAGAAAATGAACATGGGGTTCCCAGACCCAAGTCTCAATGACTTGGGTCTGACGTTAGCCAGGCTAGAAGGCTGCCATAATGCCTCTAAAATTTAGCTTTGCCATCGCAGGAATAAATTACATCTTAAAATATATTAGCAAACAGTTCTTTTTATATTGTAATATTTCACGACCACAATATTACTTTTTTACTGTATTTTTGATCAGATAAATGCAGCCTTTTCTTAAATAAAAATCTTACAGACTTTTGAATGGTTTATTTTTTTGCAGTGGTCTGTCACAGTGTGAATACATCTATGTTGTTTTTCTTAGATGTGGAACAGTTCCTGTCAGGTACCAAAGACATACTGAGTCCTCTTGTTAAGCGTTTCTCTGGAGCTGACATCATGGAGAAACTCAGTGGATCTATCCTTGCCATGGCAGCAAGACAGCTGGTAGCACACCACTATATATATATATCTTTATTTAATTATTTTTTCAGTTATTTATGTTTCTGTATATATTATGTATGTGTATGTATATAAAAGTGTGTACTGTGTCCTGTTGTAGACCATCTTCCTGCTGGAGCTGTGTGCTTTGAATATTCCTCACTGTGTGCTGCTCAAGAGATTCTACCCTCTGGCAGACATGCTCAAGAAGCTGTCTAGTGACACAGAGGACATCTTCTCTAAGGTGAGTTCACTTTGTGTCTTAAAGAAATAAAAAGAAATTGAATTAAAATAACTGATTATTTCACCTTTTTCACTTTTCACTTCCATTTAAAAACCATGAATGATAATTAATAAGAATGTTTATCAGATTTTTTTTTTTATCCCCTTGTGTTTGTAGGTAGATATGGAGGGCTGTCAACAGACACAGCAGCCTGTTGTTTTAAGGACGTGGCAAATGGAGTCGCCTCATAACTATGAGAACAGCAGGCATGAGACCACCATCTTTGTCTGTCCTGGTGCCACATCCTTCGAGGTGGAGTTTGATGAACGCTGTGAAACAGAGAAAAGGTGTGAAAGGCTTATGCTACAACTCAACTGCTAACTTCTGGTGGTAACAGGAATCATTTCCTGTTATAGATCCCTTGTGGCTCTTAAGTATGCTTTATATTTAAACTGATTGAGGTGTTTTTTAAAATATATTTTTGTAGGTATGACTATCTGGAATTCACTGATGCTAGGGGAGGGAAAGTGCGATATGATATGAAGGTTGGAACGGAGAAATGGCCAAAGGTACAACAACTTTTATTGGAGCATTTTAACTAGGGTTGTTAACTGAATGTGTTAATTGTGTAATTTTTATATATATATATATCAGGGTTTCCGTTGTCCGGTAATTACCGGACATTGGCCGGGAAAAAAATGAAATGTCCGACAAAATTAAATCTCTCCGGTCAAATTGTCCGATTAAAATTGCGTAATAATCCCGCCCCCCTAACATCCCGCCCCTCCTAAACTAATATTTGAGAATAAGCCTAAAATGTATAAAGAAAAAATACACCGACCTTTGGCTATGTTATAGGAACAGGCTCTACCGTTTGAAAGTTATTAAACAACATCGCATGCTGCATTTCAAATAAAGCGCACGCCTAGAACGGCTGTAATATAGACCTAAACAACGAACGATTGAGTGAGACGTTTCAAATATGGCCAGGTCCATTGATATTATTGATAAAGTTGATAAATTGATAAAGTTGACGATGCAGACTCGCCATCTTCGCAGTAGTGAACGCGCCTATAGAGAGAAGTGTGCACGCGCCGACGCCTCCGTGTCCTGATTAGCCTATTGTCCACTATATTTGCTTCTTATTTAATAATCCAGGCAAATTTGTTGATGAAACATTGATTAAAATTAATATACAATTTATACAAAACGAAATTTTCAAGCAAAAATAATATTCGAAGATCGTTGGGTTGATTATTATTCCAAAATCGCACCCCTCCACCACATGCATGCACACATGCATTAAGGCTACACACCAGAGCATGTGAGCAAAGCGGAGCGGTGTGACGCTTATTATAAGTTAAAAAACTTAAATATACGTTTCATTTTTATAAATAATATAATGTTATTATTTTTTTATTTCATCTATGTTGATTAGGCTATATGAAAAGGGAACCGCATGAGATGAGTAAGATAGGATCATAAGATATATATCGGAAAACATTTGGAATTGGTCAGACATGATTTTGACCACTTATTTAGTTTTGTTTTGTAGAAAGCCTTTCTTTAAAGTTTATTTCGTTTTGTATAAATTGTATCTTCATTTTAATCAATGTTTCATCAACAAATTTGCCTGGATTAAAAAATAAGAATTTATTCATATGAAGTGTGCATTTCTCTCTCTAGGCGCGTTCACTACTGCGAAGATGGCGAGTCTGCATCGTCAACTTTATCAATTTATCAACAATTTAAATGTTTCATGCATAATCATTACTTTCGCCGGTTCTTTGTGGCAAGCTTTATTTCAGGTGTTGCGTGATATCTCTGCGCCCAAGTAGCAGTGCTTCGCCTGTGTAGAGTCTCCGCAACGGCGATAGATTGAAACGCGCGTCCGAGTGAAGATTGCGCAACTCCCGCAGCGCGTCGTCCATGCAACTGATAGCAGCGGACACGAGCGCTCAGCTTGATTTAAAAAACAACTGATTTTAGCGCTAGATCTCTTATTTAATAGCGAACTAAATGAATGATCTGCTAGTTAACTCGAGATGTTAACGAGTTAGCTAGTTATTTTTTTGTATTAGGTACATCCGTGCCTCAATGTTTCAAAAAGTGAATGTGTGTGAACCCATAGTAAAAAACAATTGGTGTTAATTGACGCCAATCAGACGTTCATGTTTTTTTCCGTCTATTTGAAAGTTAGGCTAATAATAACATGTTGCATTCTATACCGCCTGATTATGTCATTTTTTAAGTTACATAGCCTGCCTCCAGTTTTCCTCAACTTGACTAATTAAGAGGCGATATTTGACCGGCATATCATCAAAATGTCCGTTAAACGAAACCTCTGCCGGTCACTTTGACCGGCACCATTTTTTTCTAGCGGAAACTCTGATATATATATATATATATATATATATAAACAAATGTGTTTGTAATGGTAACCCAATCATGGACAGCAGCCAAAAAAATGAACAGGCAGTGAAATATTACAAAAATGTTATATTTGTTAAGCCTAATATTAATTAACCTGCTACTATGCAAACATGAAACATCCATAATCCAAATTATTTTAATTATTGAGGAGAAAAAAAACACAAATTAAACAATATCCAAATTGGATGCAAACCATTATAATAATATAAGGAATAGACAATTTCCATATGCAGTCATTCTGTTAAAAATTAATGCAATTCAATTCACAGCGTTAAGAATTAATGCAATTACTTTTGCCCCGTGCTTGTACGTAATTCCAATTTTTTTTATTTAGTCTGGTCTGGTGTCTTGGAAAAAAAAAAGTTATGTATAATAAATAATGTTTTTTTTTTTGTCTTCAGAAAGTGACGTTTAAAGCGGGTCCCCAGCTGCAGTTTCTGTTTCATTCAGACAGCAGTAATAACGAATGGGGTTACAAGTTCACAGTGACGGCGTACGGCCTGCCAGACGTCACCGTGTCCTGGACCTCAGACCTGCAGCTCCTCGTGTCCAGGCTGATGGGACGTCTGGCCTCCCGCACCATGGCTTTGAAATCACCTTACGGTGAGAGAGAGCACTGAAAATCGATTAATCAGTTGATTATTTCTCTGTTTAATTTATTTTAAAAAGGGCATTCTATTCTCTGTATTTATTCCAAAAACTCTATTCCACTTAAATGTGTTCTCCTTCGAATAATAAATTGTAAATTGAAGGCTGTATAAAAATAATTGTATCCACCTTATTTTGCAATGTGGATGTAAGCAATTTTCTGTGAATGTGTGAGACTTTCGGTTCATTAGCTGCTATAGATAAATAACTAGAAGTATTACAAAGTAAAACTATTTGAACAAGAAAGCAGAGTGTTTGATCATAAAATACAATAAAACACGTTTATAACAAATGCCAGTTTGCAATATAAAGGAGCATCACAGACTGTTTTGTACAGCTAAAATAACTGGAAGTGAATGACACAGGAAGCCTTACATATTCAAATTTCAAATGGCCGCACCTGCTCTTACATTAAAAGTTGGTGGACGGATCTACTTTTAATTCAAAAAAGGTTTAAAATGTTTAAAGGATTAGTTCACCCCAAGATGAAAATTCTTTCATTAATTACTCGCCCTCATGCCGTTCCAAACCTGTAAGACTTTCGTTCATCTTCGAATCACAAATGAAGATATTTTAGTGAAATCTGAGAGATTTCTGTCCCTCCATTGACAGTCTACGCAACTACCACTTTGACGCTTCAAAAAGTTCGTAAAAAGATCGTAAAACTAATCCATATGAATTGAGCGGTTTTGAAGAGACTTGATCGCTTTATACGATGAACAGATTGAATTTAGGCTTTTATTCACAACTCAAACATCACTTAGGGTAAAAGGAAGCTCAAGCATGTTCTCTAGGCGTGAGAGAACGAGAACCAATGAGGTTCATTCTTGTGTGTTATGCGGCTCATTTAAGCTTCCGCAAGAACCAATGAGGTTTGTTCTTGCGTGTCAAAGCAGGTTCTGTTGAGCTTCTGTTAATGTTCGCTGATCAGTGTTCTGTTTATATGTGAATAAAAGCCTAAATTAAAACTGTTTATCATTTAAAGCGATCAAGTCTCTTCGTAAAACTAATCCATATGAATTGAGCGATTTAGTCTCTAATTTTCTGATCTCTTTATGACCTTTTGGAAGCATCAAAGTGGTAGTTTCGTAGACTGTCAATGGAGGGACAGGAATCTCTCAGATTTCATTAAAAATATCTTAATTTGTGTTCTGAAAATGAGCGAAAGTCTTACAGGTTTGGAACGTCATGAGGATGAGTAAATGAAGACTTTTTTTCCCCTTTTTGGGTGAACTAACCTTTTAAACTGTCACAATAAAAATTGCATATAGTTGAGGACTTATGGTGTTGGTTTTGTGTCATGTGTACCTTCCTCTTGAAGAAATCCGTGGTGTGAAGGAGTTACCTGCAGGCTTGATGAACCATGTCCTGTCCTGTCCTCTATGGAAGCCTGTGTTCAGACAAGGATTGAGTGGGCATCCCGGAGAAAAAACGTTAGCACAGGCCAGCCCAGGAACCAACCAGGTGAGGGTACTAGGAATATTACTGTATATGTGTGTTTCAGTCCGAAGAAAGTCTAATTACATATGTGCGTCTTGTGCAATTTTGTTCAACAGGAAGATCCAGCTCCTTGTGGAGATGAATTGGTGGAATTCCTGAAGGAGTTTGCTCGCTGGGATCCTTTGCAGGATTCTTCTGATGGCAGGACGGAGCTCATGAGGGCTCTTTTGATGACCTGCAAGAAGCAGCCATTCAGGAACGAGATTGCTGCGGGCTCAAAAGTGGACCAGGCGGTGAACGCCACCTGGGCGGCCATGGTGTATCACACACCAGCACTTCACCACAGTCTTAAAAGCTTTGGTAAGTAAAGCCATTTTTAAGAGTTTTAAACAGGTTTAAGAGAGCAAACACTACAGAGAAATGTTGCCGACACTCTTGAAACATTTCTAAATCATTATTTGGTAAAACTGTTGATTCTATGTACTATGAACAAACTCCATGAATTAATTCTCAAATCGATGGGACCAGATTGTTTATACCCATTGCAGAATAGGCCATTCCAGAAGAAGTTTTTAATACTAGGAAAAGCAGCAGCTCATTTGCATTTAAAGGGACACACAGAAAACGACGCATTTTTACTGACCCTCAAAAAGGGACAATTTTAACATGCTGTAACAAATTATCTGTGGGGTATTTTGAGCTTAAACTTCACATACACACTCTAGGGACAACAGAGACTTATTTTCCATATTGTAAAAAGGGGCATTATACCACCCCTTTAAATTCCCTAAAATGTAATTGTTATATTTAAAGCTGCAGTCCGTAACTTTTGCTGCACTAGCGGTTAATAAACAGAACGGCATGCGTCTTGAATCTTAAATATTTCTTATTAATTTTACTTCAGGACAGTTTTAGGATTTTGAGTTTTAAAATAAAGAAACATGGTTTAAATTAGATTTTGAATCCCAGATTTTTCGATGTGTACACAAGTATAGACTTTCACATTTCACACCATCTTTATTCATCAGGGTAATGCTCATCAAAACCTTGACCCCTTGGGACAGGCAGTATTTAGTCTGCTTCTGTAAGATGTTTGTATGAACAGGACAATTCAGTGGTCACACATGTAAATGTCCTTTTGACCATATTTCATTTCCTTTCTCATCTTCCCTGCATTAGTTGCTAAAAACGGTCAGTGCGGTCTCAGCGAGGACATTATGCAGGTTTACACCCTCGCAGATGGCATCAGAACATGGATGGTTAGTATGGCTTATGATTATTGGTTTTAAAATACCATATTTATTTTTATTTACTCTCTCATTTAAACTGTTTTGGTAGTTGGAGATGAAACAACGCTACCTTATGGGGAAAATGAATGGAGTAGAGGAAAAAGATCGAAGTCAGAATGAGGTTACGATGGAGTCACTTGGTAAATATTGATGCTATAAATGCACCTTTGATACGCATTTTTTAAAATAATGAGGCTGCATTCTCACTCTCCCTTTTTTCACTCTCTTAACAGCTGAAATTTGCATCAGTAGAAGTTTGTTCCTCTTTCAATTCAGCCCGAGCGGAGGTATCTCTGCACATCCGGAACAAGAGTCTTCCAGACCTGAAGATGGCGCCTGTGCTCCTCCTCTTCTCCGATCTATTTCGACCACAGAGGGAGACTTCCAGCCCAGTCCCTCCATATCCCAGACCCCTGAGGGAGCAGAAGCAGCAGGGCCAGGTCAGAGTGAGCGGACACAGGAGCAGGCATTCTCTGCATCAGTGGATGCTGGTCTTTCCAGCAGCACCAGTTCTCAGGGTGCCACAGGCTCCTCAGAAAGTCTTCAGTCTCAAACAGGAGACCCTTTGTCCCCGTTAGTCTTCCCACGTAAAGCACCTTTCAGTCGGGGACGCTTGAGGCTCCTGTCCTTACGATCTATGGAGGAGCCTCGCACAGCACCACCTGTCAAAGAGCGCTTCCTGATCCTCAAACACATCCTCAGCTTTTTGAAGGACATGGTCATTAATGAGAGCAGGTATGAACTGAGTATTTTCACCTCATGATGTGAATAGCTAGAAGTATGATGCCATTATTCAACAGATTTTGATGCATAAACTCACACACACGTCGTGCTAACCCATATGATTATCTGACACACTATTACACAAAAGTAGATACTGTGCTGAATGTCCTGTTGGCTTTTTTCCACACAGTAATACTTAATAGTGACCGTTAATGATCTTACAAGTAGCCCTTACAACTTGTTTGCTAAGTTTTACTGAAATTACAGCTATTAGTTGCTGAAATATCATATATATTTGAACTGTTATCTATGCATTAAAATCTGTTGAATTATGGTAGCATTTACTGTACATCTGAGAACACAGAAATGATTCGTTTTGTTGTGCATTTTTTTAATGTAATTAAAATATTATTACAAATGTTGATAACACTTTTTAATAAATATACAGTAATAAAGTACTTACAAATCATTAACAAAGTATTAGTTTATAATTAAGTCATAGTTAATATATTGGGAGCAGACTGGTAACCCTAAGGTTCCCGGGTGCCGAGGTGAATGGCTGCCCACTGCTCCGGGTGTGTGTGTCCACGGTTTGCAGTGTGTGTGTGTGTGTGTGTGTGTGTGTTCACTACTCACTACTCCTAATGTGTGTGCTCTAACTTGAATGGTTTAAATGCAGAGGACAAATTCTAAGTATGGGTTACCATCATTCATGTCACTTACTTTTACTTACTACTAGTAGTTTCTACACTTGTTAGTATGTTAATGGGATATATTTAAATAGTGAGTTTTTCATTCATTGGCACTGTAATTAACACAATTATTATTGTAAATTAGCTCGTAGTAAAGGAATTGTTAATTGTTTTTTAGTAAGGAAATAGTTCTCACTTTAGATTAGGTCACAGAAAACGGAAACATTAATTTATTTAACACTTAATACTAATGCAATTAATGTTTAATAAAGGTTGGTTTAAAGCGCTTAACGAACTCTCCCATTTTCTGTGACCTAATCTCAATTGAGAGCTATTTACAATGATTAAGTTTGTTAACAAAGCATAAAAAGTTATCTAACGCTTTACCTAAGGGCCAATTAAACATTAATAATTGTGTTAATTACAGTGACAATAAATGAAGCTCACTATTTGTATATAGCCTATTAAAATGTTAACCATGTAGGGACTACAATATATTAACGATAAAGTAACTATAAACTAATCATTCGTAAAGTACTTTATTACTGTATACTTGTTATAAAGTGTTACAAATTGGGTATATGTAATTGTAAGGTTTTTAGAAGTCTCTTATTCTCATCAAGGCTGCATTTGTTTGTTTTCTATTTTAATATATTTTAAAATGTAATTTGTTCCTGTGATAACGGCAAAGCTGAATTTTCAGCTTCATTGCTCCAGTCTTCAGTCACATGATCCTTCAGAATTATTCCAATATGTTGATTTGCTACTCAAGAAACATTTCTTATTATCAATGTGGGAGGCATTGTGCTGCTTTATTTCTTTAATAGTCTCACTGAGCCCAAACCTCTGGTCAAAGTCCTAAAACTTTGTTTAATTCCAGATTTTCAAGGTGTGCATATGTGGTGACATGTCTCTGATCAGTCGTAATGAAGTGTTCTTGTGTGTGTGTGTTCAGTGTTCTTCAAACTCTGGCTCTGAAGAAAGCGCAGGCTCTGAGTGTGTGTGAGGTGCTGGAGCTCGTGCAGAAGTGTATACTCACCCTGGGGAAACCGCACCTCTTCCAGGCACCCTGTATTTTGTTTCTCCAGGAACTCTTGGCCTGTCAGAAAGATTTCACAAAGTATGTTATCCAAAAAAATGGGCTGTCATTTCTTATGGTACTAATAATATCTACTAGTACTATCCTAATCACTATTTTAACTCTTATCTTTCTTTCTCAGTTACTTTTCTCAGTTGGCGGGCAGCGGGCAGGAGATGAGGGAGCTGGTCAGGCATTCGCATCATCAGCTGGTTCTCATGCTAGTAGCGGCCGTGCAGGACTTCAACGCACTGAACGAAAAGTGGGTTCTCTCTCCCCTGTTTTTAAACATTTGTTCTACAATATAAATTACATAGTCATACCCTGAACATGAATTTTGAAACCCGTGTATGCTTTAGAAGTTGCTAATAATAAAGTTGCCACATAAGGACTACAAATACAACTGCTGTAGTCCTTATATACAACATATTCTTTTTTATGTCCTTTCTGTGTTTTATGCCCGTTATGTCTTCTTTATGTCCTCAGGGTCCTGCTGCCTGCCCTGTCATGTGTGCAGACATGTCTGTTGCATTTGCTGGATATGAGCTGGGAGGCCGAAGATTTGTCGCTGTTTCAGGACATCAAACTGCCTGATCTTCTGCTCACCATGTCACAGGAAAACATCAGTGTACATGACATTGCCATCAGGTATCGTTCTCAGCCTTTTTGACTTGAATTCAACCTGATTAAATTTATGACACATGACCGCAGCCACGGGGACTTCAATTGTTAAAAGACTTCCGTATAAAAGGAGGGTTAAAATGAGGAGGGAGACAGACAGACACTGGATGTCCAAATCAATTATCTGTTGACTTCTAACATGTAGTTTTTGAACATGTCTTGAGTTCTTTCGTGAGCTTTGTTGTTGTTAGTTGTTTTGCATTATTGAAACTGTAAGATCAGGATTAAGTGTAGATTACACCCTATTAACAAACTAGGTTTAAAATGTATCAAATGTTTTATTTGGCTTCTCATCTCCTTTTCTTCATGTGACATGGTGGTGTAGTCAGTGGACGGAGGAGGATGAGATCGCTGACTACGAGAGGAACTGTGAATGGATGGATGAGTGTTTGGACGGCATGTTTGAGAAATGGTTTGACAAGATCAGCCAGGCCTCAGTAGAGGACAAGAGAAAGGTACAGATATCACATCAAAGAAAGGTTTTCCTGTACAGTAAAACTGTAGATCACAAAAGACCATCAAAGTTCACATTAATTAAAAAAAATAAAAATAATGGAGACTATTAAATAAGGCAGCTAAATTAACACTTTTTTTAAAAGTAACTTTTTTTATTGCATTATTATTCATGCTTGTCATCTTTATTGAATGTATTCCTCCAAACCAATGGTTAATCTCTGCAAACACAAGTAAATGTCAGCATCCACAGTAATTCAAGTTTAAATTTTGATCTAGTTCATCTGTGAACAGTGTTTGTTCTCTGCAAAAGCACAGATTTTACACACTTCCATATGCAACCTACCCAATAAACATATTGTATATTTTTGGTGCTCATTCACTGACCTTTGACCTTTGCAGATGCACATGTTCATTGCACGCTACTGCGACCTGCTAAATGTGGAGATTTCGTGTGACGGCTGCGAGCGGATCGCACCGTGGCATCGCTACCGGTGCCTGCAGTGCACAGACATGGACCTGTGCAAGACCTGCTTCCTCAGTGAGTCACTTACACTGTAATGAAGGGAAAGCAACATTGTCACGAAGCATTATTTCCACTTATCTATTACAATAACAAAGTTAGACACTGTGCAATAACTCTATTGCAGCTGCAGCACATTTCTCTGGAGTGCGTTTGTTGAATGGTTCTGCTCTTCTTGTTCAGGTGGTGCTAAACCAGAAGGCCATGAGGATGACCATGAGATGGTCAACATGGAGTATGCCTGTGACCACTGCCAGGGCCTTATTGTGGGCAGCAGGATTAACTGTAATGTCTGTGAGGACTTTGATCTTTGCTTTGGCTGTTACAATGCCAAAAAATACCCAGACAGGTAATACACGTAGATGTGTGCAATAGTTTTAACGATGTGGGATCTGACATTATCGAATATGTCCCTTACTTCGCAAAAACAATCTTAGAGAGTCCATGCATACACTGCGTGATGTAGCCTTTTAAGTTTAGGACTTCTGCACATGCACATTTAGATCTTGAATGCTTTCACTGCAAGATTTACTTTTATTAACATAAAAGAATATTTGTCTTTTAGGCTATTTTTATATCCTGTAACATAGTTAAGCAATCACACAAAGAGTGATGGTTGTTTTTTCATATCAGCTCGATTGCAAATGTGATATTTATTTTATACAACAATTTAATAAACAAGAAGTTAAGTAACTTACATTTTAAACACAATATTGCCTGTTTTTGCTCCATTTCACCAACAAAAATCGTTCTAAACAAAGCCACAGCAGATCTGTTTTATATCTGAACAACACTGTGCAGTGTTTTGTTACTGAATGAATCAGTCCCCCTGAATTGGTTGAATGAATGATTCAATGACTCCCTCAATAAGAAAGTCAAATGCTCATTTGAATAATAATAATATTATATCTGTGCCGATCTCAAGCCCCCCCATGATTATTTCAATCTCTCTCTCCCCCAACCCCCCCAAGTCGCATGTCATGGTGCCGGGACTAATTAAACACTTTTTAAATAGTAAATGCATCTAAATGCCACTTCAGATACAGCTTCTGTGTTTTCTCTCCATTGCAAAGACAGATTTTGTTGTTACTGATTTCATTTGATTGGTAACAGCCCTATAGTGTCTTATTATTCTAATTTAATTTATTGATTAAATTTGATTAGGAATTTGACACAAAAGATGATGCATAGGCTACATTTAATTAGGTTAGAAAAAATGCTCTTATTATAAAGACAAAAATGCCCATAAATGGAAAAATCAATTTAAACTTATTGATAAATTTAATTTCTGTCACTGCTGCGAACTAACCACTACACAGAATATGCGGAATATCAAAAACTTTAGGAGTCAGATGTCCACGGGAGTCTTCAACCTGCCAATGTACCAGCTCAATAACTCACTCAGCAAAATATAGTTTAATTATCGTTATTGTTTCTAAAATTTTCTAAAGATTTTTTCAATATCGCACACCCTTAAATACACGTGCCACACAATCGTGAAGACAACCTCTAGCATGTATGGTTTACAGTCTGAGACAGCAACTAAACAATGGTTATTAAAGTATAAATCATTCCCAAACAATTTTTCAAAATAAACAACAATACATATATTATTGACGTATCTATCTATCTATCTGTCTATCTGTCTGTCTATCTATCTATCTATCTATCTATCTATCTATCTATCTATCTATCTATCTATCTATCTATCTATCTATCTGTCTATCTGTCTATCTGTCTATCTGTCTATCTGTCTATCTGTCTGTCTGTCTGTCTGTCTGTCTGTCTGTCTGTCTGTCTACATGCATATATATTGTTGTTTATTTTGAAAAATTGTTTGGGAATGGTTTATACTTTAATGACCATTGTTTAGTATGTATATATATATATATATACGCCCAGTGCAAGTCAGACACCCTCTGTGTCTATACTAAATATATATATATATATATATATATACACACACACACTGTATATAAACTTATACATTATATATATTTATTTTTTCCCCTCTCCAGCCATCTGCCCACCCACCGTATCACAGTGTACCCTATGGTCACCATCCGCATCAGTGACCGCCACAGACTCATCCAGCCCTACATACATAACTACTCCTGGCTGCTTTTTGCCACGCTCGCCCTGTTCACCTCTGAGCTGGTCAGCGAGAGAGCGCAGGACGGAGAGCCTCTGGATGATGTCACCCTCGGTTATGCCAGCGCTCTGCAGACCCACTGTTCTGACATCATCAATGAGTGCCTGCTGAAGGGACAGACTGGGAAAGGTAATCAGTATATTTGAATCCTCATGATCTGTTAGGAATTATGTGTGTTAACTAGAAATGGAAGTCTAAAGTGGTTTGTATGTATAGTTAGAGTTGCTGTTGTTTCCTGTAGGTTTACGAGCCTCTGCCCTGCTGTCCCTGCTTTCTTCGAATGAATCAGCCACAGAGAGTGAACTGTGTCCTGCGACGGCTGGCTCCTCTCAGGACATCAGCAGCACAGACACCTCCTCACTGCCTAGCAGCACTACAGCTATCTGCTCCCCTTTGCTATCTAGAGACAGAGTCAGTCACTGCACATACTACATTACTGAAGCCCTTTGCCTTTTTATTTTTTTTAAATCTGTGACAACCCCCCCCCCCCCCCCAAAAAAAAACATACTCTTTAACTTAAAAAAAAGTACAATCTGTCCTCATGATATTGTTTTTTCCCCTCTTGACAAGAAACCCCAAAAGCAGGAGCCTAATGCAGAAGGTGATGCGAGGAGGAGGAAGCTAGTCTCTGAAGATACGTCAGACTCGTCCAGTGCAAGTCAGACACCCTCTGTGTCTAGTGAGGACACACTGTCCCCTGGAGTCAGAGGTGAGCTTGTGGGGGTTTCGTTTTCTCTGAGTACTCTTCAATAATCAAGAGCTCTAGTCTACAGTATAATATCTTTATTTAGTCAAAGTTTGATTTCTGCTTTAGGTGTAAATTTGTTGCATTTGAATGTCTTGTGGGATTCAATCAAAGACAACGGAACATAGGTGTAAATGGGGACAAAACTACTAGAGTAAAGATGTTGTGACAGCATTATAGGTAGCTAATTTAGTGTTTATAATTTTTTTTGTGTCTCAGTTCCAGAGTCAAGTGGAGATACTATCACATCTCCTACCTCAGAAAATCTGGATGCATATAAAGACCAGGAGGAAAAGACAGCCCGGGGGCCGCTACAGGAACACGTGTTTGCTGAATGCTCCAGAGAGAGAATTCTGGGATTGTTGGCAGCCATGTTGCCTGCAACCAAACCGGTAACAACAAAGATTCCAGTTTACTTTGTAATTGCTGGCTTTTGGTTTGTTGGCAGAGATTACTTTGGAAAAATGTTGATTTGTAACCATTTTAAATACCTCTTTTGTTTTTCACATTTCTATTCTACAAAATATGCTAATATACAAATGTAATCCTCTATAGGGCAGCCCAGTATCTTTGTCCAGCTTGAGTCCCATCCTGCCACTGCTGTTCAGAGTGGTCATCTCGAATGCCGGCTGTCTCAATGAAACATACCACCTGACACTAGGTCTTCTGGGACAGCTTCTGTTAAGGATTGCTCCTGCTGAGGCTGATGCAGCTGTGTCAGAGGCACTGACAGATAAATTTGAGCTCCTTACCCTCGGAGATGGAGCAGCACTTGATGTTCCTGGTTGGAAGACCACTCAACTGCTCTTCAGTCTGGGAGCAGTGTGTCTGGACAGGTAGTGTGATATAATATGTAACATATGGCTGAATATAATGTGTATGAGAGGTCTTCAACCTGAATAGGGAGACAGAGCTGAACAAATTTTACTATTCAATATTGTATAAATATTGTGCTTTGTGCATTTTGACCTATAATAAAATGCATTTAGCACCATATTAATGTATTTATGATACTTAAATTGTATGTTATAAATAATGATTCCATTGCAAAGCCACTTAAATAATCATTTTGATGTACAGTGTCAGTTTGGGGTCAGTAAAATATATATATATTTATTTTTATACTTTGTTGTATTAAATTGACCAGACATTTATAATGTTAACAAAATGTTTATATTTCAAATAAATTTAGTTTTTTAACTTTCTGTTTGTCAAAGAATCCTAAAACATTGCATCATGGTTTCCACATAAATATTATGCAGCACAACTGTTTTTAATTTTGTTAGTACTAAGAAATGTTTCTGGAGCAGCAAATCAGCATATTAGAATGATTTCTGAAGGATCATGTGACACTGAAGACAGAAGTAATGATGCTGAAAATTCAGCTTTGCCATCACAGGAATAAATTACGTTTTAAAATAATTATAAATACAAAACGGTTATTTGTTTTTCCTTTATTTTTGATCAAATAAATGCAGCCTTGGTTGAACAAAAGAGACCTCTTTCTTAAACATTTTTTTTTTTTTAAATCTTGCTGACTCCAAAAGAGACAATGAAACTTTTTTTTTTTTTTACTTTAGCTTTGTTGGAAGTTATTGTATTTTTATATATATTTTTAATTGCATTTTTAACAAAATTATGTTTTATATAACACTTTTCACTTGTGTCTGTGTCCATCATCTGTCTTTACATGACAACAGTCGTATCGGTCTGGATTGGGCATGTTCAGTGGCGGACATCTTGCGGAACCTGAATGTTTCTTCACAGTGGTGTGCTGTTGTGGCAGCTTTCACTGATCACTGCATCCAGCAGTTACCACAGCAACTTAAGAGAACCAACCTCTTCACTTTGCTGGTGCTCGTGGGATTCCCTGAGGTATGAACGAACATGCCACACGTGCACGCTAACACACTTAATATAAGCCTGTATTAAGTTATATGTAGAATTATATAACAATGTGCTGTTACAATCACACTTATTTGAAGATGCAAAAGCCCTTATAACATTTTGAAAAAGCTGCTCATAATAAACGTGTCTCTTGATGTTAGGTTCTGTGCATGGGGACTCAGGCTGTGTTCATCGATAATGCCAACGAACAGCACAACATGATTCTGCTCAAACACTTCACTGAGAAGAACAGAGCTGCTGTGGTGGACGTCAAGACCCGTAAGAGGAGAACAGGTGCGAGTGGAGCCGTCAATAGGTTCTTCACACTTATCACACTCATCTCTCAAATTTTCTCAGCTGTAAAAATACCAGAGCTGCACGAGTCTTTCAGCACAGTCTAAAATCACATGACTGGCAATGATATTCAAACCCACCTTCATTTACAAAGGGTGTGTCTGCTTTACTCCCTTGTTTAACAGACAGTAGTAACTTAACAGAAGTAAACTTACTGGCTTCTTAGGCTTTAAATATAACAGCAAATATTTGATGACTGCAATGCGTATTTCTCTATTGTAAAACAATCATATGCTGAAAAAAACAACAGTGTTTGTTGTGATTGAACTGGCTTTCAAATTTTGACCGCTGAAAGGATGTTCTGGGTAGCAGAATTGTAACTTCAGAATTGAAGTAGACAGGATGTTCAATAAACATTCAACTAGGACTTAACCTCAGTTAAAGGCTGCGTAGAGAACATTTCAGAAACACCCATGGTCACTCAAAACAAGTAATGGTAAGAAATGGCATTAATGCGACTCTCTGTCTCTACTATATTTCCTCTCAGTGAAAGACTACCAGTTAGTCCAGGCGCATGAGAGCAGCAGCAGGAATGATGTGGAGTCTCATGAGGGACAAGCTGTGTCCCTGACCTCCGCCCACCTGAGCTGCTACCTGAAGAACTTCACCTCTATTGTGAGTCACCTGCTGCAGGTCGAGGTGGAGAGCAGCGCCCAAGATGCTGTGGAGGCCACCTGGGTGCTCTCTCTCGCTCTTAAAGGACTCTATAACACTCTGAAGGTATTCACCAGACACCTGAACTGTGTGTGTGTGTATATATATATGTATGTGTGTTTGTATAGTGTATCAAATATACAATAATTACAGTTGTTATACACATTATATATATATATATATATAGTTTACAAATACATTTTGGGGTCATTATATAAATACACAACAAGTCATGAGTGGTCATGTTTTCATTTCTTGCAGAAGCACGGTGTGGATCAAGCCCAGGAGGCCATCCAAGGCTCAGGCCTGATGCAGCTCCTGGTCCGCAAGTGCAGCAAGGGCACAGGCTTCAGCAAGATGTGGCTTTTGCGAGACCTAGAGATCCTCTCCATCATGCTTTATTCCTCCAAGCGAGAGATCCACTCCATGGCAGAGGACGGAGACACCGAGACCGATGGAGAGAAGGAGAGAGAGAAAGAGCATGACTCTGATCACTCCAGCTGCTGCGCTGATGATGCTGATCCAAACAGACCGGATCCACTGGAAGGACTGGATGAAGAGACAAAGATCTGTTTCCAGGTTAGGCTTCAGACACTCATCCTCTGTTAGACGTGGGCCTTTTTCACCTCCTTCTGTTCTTCTCATATCTCTTCCAGCAGTTTGATCTTGAATCATCAGATTGATTGAGTGTTGTAATTGCTCCTCACCAGCTGAATTGGAGAAGGAAAGGGGGTGGATAATTCACAGTACTAGAATGTAGAAATTAGTATGTAGAGGAATAATTAGCTCTGATATTTGTCTTGCTCTTAGATTACCCATGATGCTCTCAATGCCCCACTCCACATCTTGAGAGCCATGTATGAGCTCCAGATGAAGAGGACAGACTCTTTCTTCCTTGAGGTGCAGAAAAGGTGAGTTATACTTTGAATTAGGATTTCTGTTATATAGTCAAGTTTTAAATTTATTAATGAATGAGCTCAAAAATGTGCATAACCCTTGGCAGAATCAGAAATAATATATGAAAAAAATAAGAGACATAGGGTCAGATTTACTAAACAGGGCAAATTAGCGTGAGCGCAATTCCAAAAAAGTGCCAATGGGAGTGTAAAGTTCTGCTCGTGATCACCTTGCATGATTCATTTAAATACTCTCCTCCCATAAATTTTGCATCTGAAAGTGAAACTCCTACAACTGCATATGCAATAAGGTCAGCCATAAAAATATGCGCCTTTTCAGCTCTAGTTTTTCCACTGCGTGTCTTCTGACAGTAGTTTATTAACGTCAAAAAAGGGTTTTCGCTGGCGCAAGCTGTTAGTAAATCTGGCCCATAGTTTGACTGAAATTACACAAATCTGTGCATCAGTGACTTCTTGATCTGTAATCTCTCAGTGAGCGGTTTATTATAAAACAAATAATTTTGAAAATATTTAAAATGGCGTCATCCATTTTTATCGATCCTTAATATCTACACAGTGCTAAAGTTCTTGCAGATTTTGTGAGAGGTGTGCAAACTTATTAGCAGAATTGTAAATAAAGATTGTGTGTAACTCAGTTGTATTAAATAAAATCAAAGACTTTCTCTCAAATAATCCTTTTTTCTAAAATATCATTTCAAAGGTTTGATGGTGATGCTATAAAAACCGATGAGACTATTCGTACGCTGGCACAGAAGTGGCAACCATCTAAAAGACCTCGTTCTGAGGAAAGAAGCACCAAGGCTGTAGATACTGATATTATCATTGTGCCCTGTGTGGTAAGACTAATTTTAAGATTAAACTTATATTTGAGTATATTTTGTGATCTTGAGTAAATTAAGTTAATTCACTCTACTTTCTTCGACCTTAGTCTAAACCCACCCGGTGTGAAAAAGCCACAGAAGAAACGAACGTCATCACACAGAAACTTATCACCAACAGCGAGAGTGACCTGCAGCTGAGTTACGCCAAACAGCGGCGCACCAAAAGCTCAGCTCTGTTGCATAAAGAGCTGGACGCCCGCAGTAACAAGGCAGTGCGACAGTACCTTTTCAAGGTGAACGAGGCCATTGCTATCCTGTACGCGCGACATGTGTTGGCGACACTGCTGGCCAACTGGCCTTCTGACACACCCATCAGAGAGGAAGACCTTGAGCTGAGTGGAGCTTCTCACATGGCCTACATACTGGACATGCTCATGCAACTAGAGGAGAGACCGATGTGGGAGAAGGTGAGAAGGGGATTTGTAGTCAGGATCTAAAATGCCACACCTGTGAGTGAGTTGAGAAAATTTACAGGCAGGAAGTATGTTTCTTTCAATGAAACTGTACCATTATTACTAGCATAAATTTCTCCCTCACATATTGCATCTCAGATCTTGCAGAAGGTACTGAGGGGCTGCAGCCAGAGCATGCTGGGTAATCTGTCACTGACTGCATGTCAGTTTATGGAGGAGCCTGGGATGGCCGTGCAGGTCCGTGAGTCCAAGCACCCCTATGACAACAATACCAACTTTGAGGTATGAATTCCATTTTTTTTTTTACTCAAAATCCCTTGATCATAATTGAGTATTTCTTGTCCACTCAGTGTCATCCTTTGCATTGTCTCAGGATAAGGTGCACATCCCTGGAGCGATCTTCCTGTCTGTGAAGTTCGACTCACGCTGTCACACAGAGGAAGGATGTGACGAGCTCCTGATGGCCAGCAGTAGCGACTTCCTGCAGGACCTGCACACCTTCAGTGGTTCTCACCAGAAATGGACGGACTTTGAGATTCCTGGTGAGAGTTTGAGAAAGTGGCATGTTTGAGTGCTAGTGGTTTATAAATAAATCATAACAGACTTACGTTTACTTGGTTTGGACTTACTTTTACTTGATTTGGACTCAGAATTTCTGCATAAATTGGTCATATAATTAAAGGAGAACTCCGGGCAATTTTTAAGTTAATCTTGATCGTTATACCTTTGTGAGTACTGTCTATAGAAAAAAACTGAACCGGATTAGTGCTTGCAACACGGAGCTTCTAAAGCTAATGCCCAGAGCTCCCACTCAGCTAAAACGGCAGTTATGGGGGCATATACAGTACATAAAGAGTGTCTTTGTGCCTCTTAACAGACACAAAATGCAATTAAAATGTCTGTCCAACATGTACAGGGCCCTTACATGACAACAAGATGCGTTTAGCAACTTAGCCATTGTTTAAATTCACCTAAATAGTGTTTTAGACGGCTAGCTGTAATCTCGCGCTGAAGTCCCGTGGGAACTCAGTTGTAGCCGGAAAAAGGTAAATAGCAGTGTACAGATGGGCATTATAATGACTAAAAGGCACATAGATTATGTCTATGTCTATGTCTTCAATACACATGAACATCTTTATGAGCTAGTTCGTTTTGTCACTCGCATACATTCACTTTTACACATGCGGGGCTATTCAAACGTTTATAAACTAAGTGGAGAACAATGTATAAACAGACTGCTACTTACTTTACAGGCACACACTCAACTTTAGCAAAGATAAATCGTTACAGTACAGCTGGCATCCATCCGCGTTCTCGATCAGTCAGACTCAATTCAGTGGGTGGGGATCACTGACTTGCACGTCTTTTCCGCGGCGCTGATTGGCTCGCTGGATGGATGCTGTGACGAATGCGTCAATTTTGTAAAGCAACTAAAACACTTGAATATAACCCTTATAGTGGCCTTTTTTACAAGCGTAGTGTGTGAAGAGTGAAGATCGGAGTTGCTCACAAGTGAAGAAGAAATGGTTCGCTTTGACATGTTTTCCTGCAGTTGTATATCTGCTGATGTACATGCATTTTAACTTTAGTTACAATGACAGATGAAAACAATTTGTTCCTCTTTCTCCTCTAGGGGACACTCTCTACTTCAGGTTTATATCAGATATGAGTAACACCGAATGGGGCTACAAGTTCACTGTGACTGGTGGCCATCGAGGGCGCTTCCAGACTGGTATGCTTTTGCAGTCATTTACTTAATAACTCTTGATGTCTCTTTTGATGTCTGTGACCAATGTCCTCTACCCACTGTTATTCTTCAACCTGTGCTGTCATCATCTCCCTGTCCGGTTACTGTCCTCTACAAGTACACCCTCTAATAAGCCCAAAAAAAGTTTCATTATGCTTATTCATTAAGCATTTCACTTGAGACTTGAATTCTTGCAGTCTTTTAGGGATGTAATGTTGGTGTCTCACTTGCTGATTTTCAGTAGTAAGCTTCATTTACACTGCAGTTTGAGAATCAGAGGGGGTCGGTGTGCACGGACGTGTCTCTCAGCGTGTGAGCGTTAATAGCCCCAAAAACTCAACTTCCTGCTGAGTCAATGGCCCTGCCGACCCTCCGATCATAACTAACACGTTTAAAATGAATGAAGGCAGTCAGTTGGTTTTGGCAGTGACAAGTGAGCTACTTCTAATGCTGAACAGAAAACGCAAAGCGACATATCACAAACACTGACTGTTAAACCATAATGATTGTATATCTGAGTATTTGTCTAGATAAATGAAAAAATAAAATTTTGAATTTAGGCTTCTTGAGATTTATTTTGTACAGTATAGAAAACTAAAACTATTAAAAATCATTTTCATTAATTGAAATAAATTCTAAATAAATGTAATTATTAAATGAAAAACCTAAAAACCTACAGGGCTCCCATGGGTCCTTGAAATCCTTGAAAGTTTGTGTATCTGAAAAAAAAAAATTCAAGGCCCTGGAAAGTTTTTGAAAATAAACATACATAGATACAGGTCCTTGAAAGGGATTGAATTTATTTTGTGCAAGAAGTTTTCTGGGGAAAAAAATCCATATTATTCCCCCCGGTCCGCTAATGTGTTATTTCGCCAACATTTCATGGCATATGCATACTAGCTTGCTTGATTTACGTTAGTTACGCGCATTTACGCGTTACGTCAAGCGTTTCCCGCGTGAGGTACTTTGTGTTGTACGTTTCCATGATGTTCATGCGCGCACAAAACTACTACGTTGGTACCGTACCTCAACGTTTGTTGTTGGACACAACAAATGTGTCCCCACATTAAGTCCTTGAATTTGAGGGTATTGGACCTGGAATGTCCTTGAAAGGTCCTTGAATTTGGTGTGGGAAAAGGTGTGGGAACCCTGTAAATAAAAATTAACTGATCTAAATTTACTATAACTAAAACTGAAATAAAAATAAAGCTAAATTGGAATATTAAATAAAAACAAAAACGAATAAAATTGACAAAAGCATAAAACAAAATTAACTTAAACCTAAAATTTAGGGCTGTCAGTTAAACGCGTTATTAACGTTAACGCAAACCCATTTTAACGCGATAAATTTTTTTATCGCGAGATTAATGGTCTTTTTGGCCTAGCAAACTTTGCAGTTTTTTTTTCACATGCTTTTGCAACAGGACGCGGCATCCATTAATTTCAATGGTTTGCGCCGCGCGAGGACGTTTTGTTGCTCCGTCAACCAAAGCGCAAGCACAGCGGCGCAAGCACAGCGGTGCGCACGCTGGGGTCAAAATTCAAAATAGTTCAACTTTTGTCTGTGACAAAAGCTGTGACAATTACCAGCGCGGCCAATAGAAACTTTTTGGCATCTAAAAAGTTTTGAAAACTTAAAAACAGTAGTCGATTGTCGAGTTCGCGCGCGCGATCATTAGTTATATTAGTTACCAATGATCGCGCGCGCGAACTCGACAATCGACTACTGTGGACTTCGAACGAAAACAGGAAGTAAATACAGGTATGTGAGCTGGCTGAATTAACATCATTTTTATTAATATCTTTCACATCTACTGCAGTCAGATTGACCGTGGTCACTCTTAATAACACCACTCACATGGCTGTGCACTTGTAATGACACATTAAGGTTGTTAAGAGGCTAAAAGCAGGTTTAGAACTTGCCCCATTGAAGTCAACAGGGTGCGAATTTTAAAAAGAGGATAACACGGTGTAGGATTTTTGTCGTTTTTGTCTGTACTGACAGCACTCCAAATGTACAAAAAAATGAGCTCAATGTTAAAATTGACCGGAGTTCTCCTTTAAATGCAGAGGACAGGTTTGAGTATGGGTTAACATACTTGGCCTTCACATCATGTCACTGTCACTTACTATATAAATTATACTAAAATAACACCGTAAGATTACATTTAACGGTGTTAAATTATTACCGTTTTAAAGAATGATAAAATATGCAAAATGAGCACTTCAATATTCAATATCTACTACAAAATATGGACCAATATGGTATGGTACCAATATATTGATCATACCTACAGTTAAAGGACACCTATTATGCCCCTTTTCACAAGATGTAAAATTAGTCTCTGATGTCCGCAGAGTGTGTATGTGAAGTTTGAACAGATGAGAATGAACAGATCATTTTTTACAGCAGGTTTAAATTGTCACTTTTTGGGGCTCAGAAAAATTTGTGTTTTAGTGTGTATCCCTTTAAATGCAAATGAGCTGCTGCTGCCGTCCCAGGGGGCAGAGCCTCACGAGCTTGCGCTTCAGTCTCTGTCAGGACAATCTCATCTCACAGAATGATAATATCAAAACAGAAACTCTCAGTAGTGTTCATTTCGACCCGGAGTCGGACAATCATCCCCACAGAGCCAGAGAATATATGCTGTATGGAGATAGAACAGTCAGGCAGCCTACAGTTTACTTTAATTGTGGTTATAATGTATTTGTCATCTGCTTTTATCCACTATTAGTACAAGCCTGTTGTAGCGGATCGCGTCCGAATGATGGCCAGAAATATACTAATGAGTTCAATGAAGTTTATTGTACATCACACAAAAGATGAAGCGTTAGTTTTACTCCAGAAAATCACTGTAAGAGCTGAATAAACACAGTATAAGAAGTGCGCTTAAAGTCTTATCCATAAACTCTCTCTCCCTTTCATTATCATCAACATACACAGCGAAGTACACAAAACACTCGTTACAACTAACAGTAAACAAATATATACACACCTTTTCAGTGGGTGCTTAAAGCTGCAGTCCGTAGCTTTTTTGGGTTAAAAATGATCCAAAATAAATTTGAGAAAATACATAACCAGCCAGTGTTCAAAACTATCTGCTTGCCTTAGCTCGATTCAAAATGGTAAGCATGTAATAATGTTTTAATTCCAGTGGTACTGGTGGATTTCCGCGGGAGATTCGAGCATGTCTTTGTGTCATTACGTCACATCTGTACATCTGTAGGCTATGTTGCGTGTGAGGATGTTGAAGGTGGAGTTTTATAGCCTTTTCTCACAGCACTTGATATAATTAGACTTTATCAATTTGATGGCGGATCTAGAAAGGTTAAAACGACAATCACCAGTGACAACTGGAGATTCACCTGTTATAAATTGCAAAAGACTTCGTTCAGACTTCGGAGCTACAGAAAAAAAGGGACTGCAACCGGACCCATGCGAAAACAAGGATACATATCGGAAGGACATTACATGTAGTCACGCAATGCTTACGTTGTTAACATTAACAATTTGAGAACAAAGTATAATTTGCACGGTTTTGCGTGATATGATAACTTATAAGCGATTGTTAGATTTAATCAGCGCGTTTTACTGCAATGTCAGAACCAGAACAAATGTGGATGTTTCTTACTAGTTCAGATGACATTTTCCGGTGAAAATGATTATGTTGGTCATACTTCCAAAAAGAATAATTTGTGATTCTGTATGCCAGTATCCACACCGGCGTGGTGACTGACAGCTGCACATTCTCTTCAAACATTGGATTCATCCGCGCTCTGACATGCCAAGGTACAACTCACGTAAAGTTGATAATTCCGCGAATTACTGCAATTGCAGATTTCCAACAGAGATGGCGAAAAAGAGGAAAAACTGCGGACTGCAGCTTTATTAATAAACTGGTAAACTTTATATCTGTAAAACGACTCGATGAGCTGTCATAAAGTGCGCGCTCTCACTTCCATTTCTGCCGTGATCAGTAACGTTAGGCCTGTCGCTCCGGAGACTGTAAGCTTGATCACGAACAGTTGTACTGATCCCTCCTCGAGTAACAACGAGAGTAAATGAAGACTGCTATGTTCATTCTTACATCTTATAACAAAACACCTCAATAGCTTTAGAAGACATTCTTGTCTACAGCTGCTCCGGCGTAGAAACAATGGCGGACTGTGTCCAGCTCACTCAGGGCGGGTCTACGCTCAAACTGCAGTGTCAATCAACAGTCGCGGGAGGGGCTTGTGCAAAAGTACGTCACATTGCCCCGAATCTGAGAATGGCTTGTTCTGAGACAGTGCTTATGATTTATGGGGATTTTAAAAAAAAGCACTGGGTGGATTTTTATCATTATAGGGTGGTTGTGTACACACACTGCAAACACATTTATGTTCAAACACCATGTAAAAGTGAATTTTGCATCATAGGTGCCCTTTAAGTTTATCCATTACAGAATTCTCTTCCACAACCCAGTTGCCCAGGCCATTCACACACAGATGTTTTAGAACGTAGGCGCAACAGTAGAGCATCTCCATATAAACCTCCATATAGAGCATGTTTGTTTAGGCAAACAATGTAAAACACTTACTGGTATACTTAAAAGAAATTCAGTGAACAGGCCATTAGTATGTAAATTTCTGAGCATATGACTGTCAGTAGTGAGTCACGACACGAGTCACTTTGAACTCTTCTCCTGAGCCTTGTCCACTTATAATCAAAGAATTAATAGACTTGTGCACCTTTTGCTCTGTTTCTGACGTTATTATTCTATAATGGAATATCAAATGAGTTTCCCCATCCATGAAAGCAGCGCCTCATTTATGAGGTCTGCCAACTCATTGTTTTTTTCACAGATGAGGCTTAAGAGGGTAAACAAGAGAAAGAAAACAGCCCCACATGTGAATTGATGTTCTTCCTTTTATGTTATTTTCATTTTGCAAGTTAAATAGGTCCTATTGTGTTTTTTCACATTTTCAAATTTCTTTAGTATGTAATGTTGCTGTTTGAGTATAAAAAAAGGTCTGCAATGTTACAAAGCACAAAGTCCACTCTAATGGGAGTTATTCCCTATATCAGTAAGAACTGTTTCTGAACTTGCTGAACAGCTTGATTTGTAGTCTTGAGTTTTCTTCCAGGAAAGTACACCTCACAATATTCCTCATTTAAATAATTCCCGGCCAAGGCATACACAATAAAAGGGGTGAGGCCTGATTGAGTTGCGTTAGTAGTGTGTTGTTGACCTGACGTTATAGTTAGCATAGTTACAGTTATGGCTGCACGATGTTGGAAAAAACTGACATTGCGATATTTTGTTTTTCTGAGATATGAAAACAGTTTCGCCAGATGACTTGAATAGCTGTATCTGGAAAGAATTAATAATTCTAGAATTCTTCAATCATTGTGTGATATTGTAGGGGAGTGAATACAAAGTACAAGCATTAGATAAATATAATACATGAAAAATATAAAGCACTATTTATTTCATTTGTATCTTTCTTCTAAGTCTAACAGTATTCAGGTACAGAAATTGAATAATCAAATGTAAAATAACACTGATAGAGGCAGAAGAGAAGGGTACTGGGTGTTGCGAAATTAGTTCTTTTCACGTCTTCCACTCGAATGGCTTAAAATCACTTGAATGTTTAAACCTAAAACACGTGTAAATGATAAGCTTTCACTCTATGATGGTTAAACTTTGCAATTATTCAGAGAATTACATTCAAACCGTGGGGCCTGGTCTGTACGGATCACAGATCAACTACGATCCCTATACTTGACATCACACATCCTGCGGCATGACTATCGCAGAGGCGCACATCACAATATAGATGCTAAAACGATATATCGTGCAGCCCTAGTTACAGAGGTGATACTCACCGTTATGGGAAGGGGCGTTGCATTTCCGACACGCTCTCTAAGGCCCCATCCACACTACTGCGTTTTAGTTTACAAACGGATAATTAAAACGAATACGATCTCCGTCCATACCAGCGTTTTAGCTGCGTATTAGAATTGATCTCCGTCCACATTAAAACGACTGAAAACGCGGATCACGTGACCATTCACCAACACTGGGCATGCGCGTGCCGGTGTAAACACAACTTCATTGATAAAATTATCCCACCATGCTCTGGGTTAACCCCAAACCGACGCTCCATGTACGGTCAACGCCGCCGCTGCACACGGGAATTGTCACAGATCGCTCGAATAATAGCTTGACTCCGGCGCATGTAGGCAGTTATAGCGTTGTAAAATGCAGAATTTGCTTGTACAACAGATATAGGCCTACGCCATGACTGATGACACCCAATCATAGAGCCGAGCGTGAGCCTCTACTACGTCATCATTTCTAAAGTCCTCCGTTTTTACCCGTCTACACTAAAACGCCCTCCAGAGATTCAAAACGAAAAACGGATCGGCAGCGTTTCTAAACTTCTCCGTTTTGGGTCTCCGTTTTTGCCGTTTTAGTCAGGACGGGAGGTGCAAACGTAGCAAAAGGTCTCCGTTTTTAAACGAAAACGCAGTAGTGTGGACGGGGCCTAAGCAGTAGACCAATCATAATAGACTGGAGCCGGCTGACCAATCAAAGCAGACTGCTTTTCGAAAGGCGGGTTTTAAAGAAATCTAAACTAAAACAGAGTTCAGACCACTGTCTATATAATGACTGGATAGCTCATGACGTTCTAAACTGCCACCAGGCAGTGAAGCCACCGGAAGTGTTCGAGTGGCCATCTTACGATTCCCTACCAGCAGAGGGCTCCAACGGCCGTTATACAGAGATCGGTAGCTCCGACGGCACTTTTAAGATGACCCGCTGTGCATCATACAAGTGTAAAACGAAGTTCACAAAAGGATCTAGAAAAACTGCCCACAGGTTGTAATTTAAGCCCATAAGTAGTAATTTATATGCACAATTGTCGCTATTTCCGTGTTGTTTTCTCCGAGGCAAGAGTAGCCTAATGCTTCTTCTTCAAAAAACAAACGATAAAACATTCAACAGTAGCCGATAAGGAACCTCAGAGCAGCAATAATCATAATTAAGTGTCCAATAGCGACCCCATTTGACAGCTTCAAAAGAGCTTCGTGCAGAGTCCATTTACCGCGCGTATACGGTGCAGGAGCAGCACGCACTATTGTGCTTCCAAAATAGGCTTCCACATGCTGTTTGCAGTGCGCAACTGATCTACGTCTGTACCACAAACAACATTTATTCTCTATTTTTTATTTCAAATCACTATTTTTATTATCAGCGTCTTTTATAAAATAATAATTTTTCTTTATAAAAAAAAATTGTATAGCCTACTATGCATTCTTTTTTACAGACGTATTCAAGTTTAAACCCAATTAAATGCATTTATTTACTATATTTTCCTTTCAATCCGTGTTCAGTTTGACCACGAACCATGATCAGTGGTTCAGACACTGGGTGAAAACAGATGCTGCAACAATGTAAATTATAAGAAAAAAATGGTCTTTTGAACATTAAATAATGTAAGTGTATTGTATCAGACCTCATAAACAATGATGAACATAATAGGACATAATATGTTCACATTTATGTTTTTGAATCTGAACAGGTTTTGAGATCCTGAAGCAGATGCTAGCGGATGAGCAGGCCCTCACTCACCTCCCGCTGTCTGACATCTGGGAGTGGCAGGTGGGCGTGGCTTGTCGGCAAACTGGAAACCAGCGGCTGAAAGCTATTCATCTGCTGCTGCGGCTCCTGCAGTGTCCGTCTCAATGGTGTGTCCCTTCTTACCTTTCTGATAGTGCTTTTTAAAAGCTGACAGCATTTATTAAAACCAACAAAAGGCAGCCGCGTCATCCTGCAGTGCTTTATAGCTGTCCCAATATTCTGGAGAGATGAGGCAGCAACTTGCTTTCAGAACCTGGTTCTGTCAGGTCAGTTCTGCACTCTGTGGATAGCAGGTCCAACTTGACCCAGTTTAACACGCCTCAAGTGAGCCTATCTTCCTCTCGCTCTGCAACTTTTCTTCTTGTTCCTGAAAATCGATGAGTTCAGAAATGCTTTTTAAAATTGAATCAAGGGGCCGACTTTTAAGCACACGAATATTGTATTTCTTGTATTCACACTTCTTGAGTGGTTTACACTACTCTGGCTCATTCTTTTGTGTGTTTTGTTTTGGTGAGCATCCAGATTAACACCGCTTTTGCATAACGCATCTGACAGTGGCTTTCTGCCTTCATTGTTCCCATGGCAACAAGGTCACATGTCAGGCTGATTTGCATAATTTCCATGGTGTTTGGACACAGTTACATCATCATCATCAGCAGAGAGACCGTGTATGAGAGAAATAGAGACATTAACCTGTGGTGTCAGATGAGTTAGCGAGTTTGAGGAATAGCCCATGCAAATGACCACCTGCTCTCCGCAAGGGGAACATTAATCGGGTGAATGAGATGGCCACATAGTTCAAATATGAGTAATGATAAAGCTAAGATCATTCAGAGTGTAATGACCTCACATTTAGATTGTTGTGTGTGTTAACACAGGGGTTGTGACCTTACACTTCTGCGGCCGCTGTGGCAGCTCTTCACTACTATGGAAAGTGGTTTGAGTCAGGACCCCACCAGCATCACGGTCCTCCTTCCTCTCCACCGCGCTCTCACAGAGCTCTTTTTCATTGCCGAAGCAAAGGCCATGGTGAGTGACCATCTTCTTCCTCTTCTTCCTCTCAAGCAGCTTCCTCTCAAAACATAAACTTAAGCTACAAATCTTTTCGATTAAAGCTGATTAGCTGTTGAAAGGAATGGTTTACGCAATAATGAACTTTCCCTCATGTATGCTGTTCGCAATCACGTCTTTCCAACACCAATAAAATCACCAAAACCCAATTAATTAAGCCATCAAATGGCAAAAGCAGCATAAAGAAAAAGAGCACAGGATTTTGGAACACCATGGAGTTGAGTAAATTATTAATTTATTTTCATTTCACTATTCCTCATTTTTATGAGATATTTGAAATATTTGCATGCTTTTCAATTATTATTTACACTGCTGTTCAAAAGTTTGATGCCACAGCAAATACACTTATGTTATTTTTATTTCAAATAAATACTGTTTGTTTGAACTTTCTGTTCATCAAAGAATCCTGGAAAATATGATCAACTTCCACAAAAAAAAATTAAGAAGCACAACTGTTTTCAACATTGATAATAATACATTTTTCTCGAGCAACAAATCGGCATATTAGAATGATTTCTGAAGGATCATGTGACACTGGAGACTGGAGTAATGATGCTGAAAATTCAGCTTTACCATCACAGAAATGAATTACATTTTACAGTATATTAAAATAGAAAACAGTTGACATCAGGTGATAACATCAGTCATCTTTTTGTATAGTTTCATTGAAGGTGCATCGTTTGTCTGTATCTTTGATTCTTAATCTTTATTTCATCATTTATTTTGGTATGCGTTTAGGGTCATGCATGTGTAACAGATGTGAATTGTTCTGTCCTTCAGACAGTGATGATAAAACAGTGACAAATGTGTCCCCTTCCAAAATTCCTGATGCCCCATTAAGTTATTTATCCTGGCATTGCTCTGTCCGGACAGTTGCTTTTTTATGGAGCATATTTATTGAATTCTGGGAGGCATCCAGGTGACGTTCAAGTAATTGTTTTGTGCTGTCACAAGGAAATAGTTCTGTGATGAAATGTGAAAAACTGGACTGGAGAGCATTAGATTTTTAGTGTCAGATTTCATTCAGTCTGAATCATGTCAGGGTCTGTGAGTGTCTGTCAGGGGAGCTGCACTAAAGTGAGTCTTCCCTTATGCATTTGTATGCTACACTCAAACTCCAAAAAATAATAGAAACACCCACACAGAAACGTACAGGCCTGCCATTGGCCTTAATGGCCACATTTACATGGTGTAGTCTGCAAGACTTGATAAAGCATTATGGCTGTTTGTAATGCATGTCCTGTTTACCGATGGTGGATCCTCAGCTCAAACTCACGGTTTAACTGGATCTTCTTGATGATCCATATGTATGGATCTGTGCAACAATCCAAAATTGTCCAAGATCCATCACAGATTGCATTCATATTCATGGTAATTTGTTGCAGTGCCCTCTTTAAACAATGTGTGAAAGGCAACATGGATATTTGTCTTTCTTTGTCTATCTCTTTAGTTTTTTCATGTGAATGATTTTGGGCACTTTTCACTGGTTAACAATAAGTATTTGAATGCAATGAATTTTTACCAATTGCTTTCAAGGTCATTTTTAAGTGAATGTATGAAGTAAGTTTCTCTCATGTTCATAGCAGAGTAACCACAGGTGTAGTTCATCACATTAAATGTTACACTAATGTTTGACAAGCAGTGTCAATATACTTTGTCTTAGTTTTAAACACACACTTGTTTATAATATGGAACGTAACAAACTTAAACTGGGGAAACGTTTTACTTAGTGTGTTTTGCTATATTTCTTAAAAAATAAAATCCACTTGTTTTGATATTTTTGTTATATAATGCAAGGACAATTATACAAATGTAAAAGTGGCTTCAGCTTCCAAACATTTTATAAGTGCGTGGGAGAGACAAAAGTGGGCACTAGGGGGCGCTAAGACACTTACTTGTATTCAAAGCAAGTCAAAATAGTCTTCAAGAACACAGTATAGTCACACAGACAGCTTAGAGAGATGCATATGAACTGTATGCAGTACATTTATAGAAATAAACAGCCATGTCGGGTAATGTCTGAGTGAATGGCGCTCTTTCTTTGAGCCTGTGAATGGGAGGAAAGTTTTAATGACAATACTCTTTCATCACTGAGCCATAATGCTTTAACAGTCAAGTTGGACTTGAATATGAAGTGGTTTGTTTGTGTGTTTGAATGAGATATGTTTAAGTGCGCATTAGTGTTGAGGACTGACAGGCAAATGGATGAAGTGAGTGTTTTGAGTGGTTACGGCAGTAGATACTCAATACTGTTTGGCCTCATTATGAAGAGCCTTAATCTCTACCACAACCGCTGCACTTCTCAGAACTGACCATAAAGATTTCAAACCTCTCAGCAGCCAGATGATCATGACTGATCTATTGTTGTTTTTTTTCAGTTAGGCAACGCTATAAAATGGGCTCAGAACACTGAACTAATGGGAGAAGGTCAACGCGTATTTGAAAGAGCGTTTCAGCATGTGAATACTCAGCTGTTGCAACGTTTGAGTCGGAAATGAGACGGAAAGAAGAAAAAAACGATAAGACGTTCAGACTTGCTATGTCTTCCTCTCCTGTAGTGTAGTAACACACATTTCTGCTGGATGACGAAAAAAAACCCTCCTTCACAGAGGAAGTGGTTTTGAATGTGTTCTGACATGACAAAAGCTGCAGCCTCTCCAAAGTCTTCAGAGAGTTCTGTCATGAAGCGTCTAGATGCTGTTCATTTGGGTGTAGAAGTAAAGTGCGATCTGACCGGCTTCTGTTGACGGCAATCCATTCATAACTTTTCCAACTAAAGTCATCAAAGCGGAGCTCTCAGTAAGGATGTTGTTTGACAAGGTTAAGGAGACTTAACAGGATATTGCAATGGATGTATCTTAGTTTTTTTTAATGTTTTTATGTAGAAAAACCATTTATTTATATTAAAGGGTAAGTTCACCCATAAATGAAAACTGCCACCATCTACTCACCCTAAAGTTGTTCCAAACCTGTATGAATTTCTTTCTGCTGCTGAACACAAAAGAAGATATATTGAAGAATCATGAACCAAACAGTTGATGGGTCCCTTTTTTTTCTTCTATAAATATTCTTAAAAACATAATCTTTTGTGTTCAGCAGAAGAACGAAATTCATACAGGTTTGTAAATGATGACCGAATTTTCATTTATGGGTGAACTAACCCTTTTACATAACCTTTTTCCAGCATTTTTAATGAATAGAGGCATATATCTATTTGTAAATGTTATTACAATTTAAAATAACTTTTTTTTTTTTCTATTCAAATTATTTTTTTTATGTCATTTATTTCTGTGATGGTAAACTTAATTTTCAGCATCATTACTCCAGTCTTCAGTGTCACATGATCCTTCAGAAATCATTCTAATATACTGATTTGGTGCTCAAGAAACGATTCTTATTAATATCACTGTTGTGCTGTTAATTATTTTCGTGGAAACCATGATACATTTTTGTTCCAAAATTCTCTGTTAATAAAATCCAAAAGCATTTATTTGAAGTAGACATCTTGTGTAACATTATAAATGTCTTAAATCATAGTGACTGAATACTGATATCTGTATGAAAAGTTCCCTTTAAAAAATGTTAAGGACAGTTACAACAACTTGTGTGCTGTTTTTGTTCAGTTTCCCATTTTCTATTAGCATTCGCATTTCTAGCCTAGCGTGCCATCTGGAGTTCATGGGCACATTTGAACAATCTATGGCTAAGCCGTGCCAATTGGTGCACGAGTATGCATTAGCCTTATCAACCTCGTTGTGTGTCGTTTATACATACTGTCGAACAAAGTATCTACTTTACTGTATTGCTGTGCATATTTTATGTAACGTTTAAATGGGCTTTACGGTTCCAGGGTTCCACCATGCACCCTCAAAAGTTCCCTGGAGATTACGCGTAACAGAAATAAGCTTTAGACTTTGATCAATGTGAAATACCTGGAAGAGTGCAAATACTCCTACCTCAGGAAATTAGATAGCAGAGGCAGGGCTGATTTAGATGATGTCTGGTTTGATTCAGAGTCATGTCATCAACAGCATGGTGCTGTTCCAAACCCCAGATTAACAGCTCACGTTGAGCCAGTCTATGGTAAATAACAGTATAGTCTAACTGGCCTTTCATCAGATTGCTCTCCTGGCAAGTGCTATAGAATAAATTCAGAATTTTTTGCTGAATTTTCATGTTGTGGGTGAATACTGAAGCTGGTATGTGTCTTTTCATTTGTCCATCAGGAGCAGGACGTTCTGCAAGAGTACCTTCTTGCTCTCACTACCAATGAACAGCTGGTAATTCGCACTGCACAGGTAAGACAACCACAGTCCCTATGGTGTTCATACATTTTATTTATTAACAGGGTTCACATGGGTCCTTGAAATCCTTGAAAGTTTGTGGATCTGGAAAAAAAATGTCAAGGCCCTGGAAAGTTTTTGAAAATAAACATACATAGATACAGGTCCTTGAAAGTGCTTGAATTTTTTTTGTGCACAAAGTTTTCTGTAAAAAAAAAAAAACCTATTATTCCCTCCGGTCCGCTAATGTGTTATTTCACCAACACTTCGTGGCCTATGGATACTAACCCAAATATGTTCAGTCAATGACTGTCTATTGTGTTCAATAAACATAAAATATTTGTGATGATAACTATTTTATTTAATGTAATGTTGAATTGCTTTGCTTGTTAAGATAATGTAAACCCATGAGTTGTTCACTTTAAACTGAAAATTAGCCCATGATTTACTCACCCTCAAGCCATCCTAGGTGTATATGACATTCTTCTTTCAGGCGAATTTAATCGGAGTTATATTAAAAAATGTCCTGGCTCTTCCCAGCTTTATAATGGCAGTGAATGTTCCTGTTTTGAAGTCCATCAAAGTACATCCATCCATGATAAAAGTGTATCTATCCATGATTAAAGTGCTCCACACGGCTCTGGGGGTTAATAAAGGCCTTCTGAAGCGAAGCAATGTGTTAGTGTAAGACAAATATTCATATTTAAAACTTTATAAAGTAAAAAACTAGCTTCCGGCAGATGGTAAGTAATGTGACAGTAATGTGTAGTAATGCGACATACTGCTGATATTTAAGCTACGCCATGACGCACTACGCTACTTCCGACGTCACAAGTTGCGCTTTGCGTAAGTAGACTGCGTATGTTCGTTTGGCCGGAAGCTAGAATTTTACTTTGTAGCGTGTTAAATATTAATATTTTTCTTACACAAACTCATCCCTTTGCTTCAGAAGGCCTTTATTAACCGCCCAGAGCCGTGTGGAGCACTTTTATGATGGATAGATACACTTTTTTGAGCTTCAATCTGATGGTTCCAATCCACTGCCATTATAAAACTCGGAAGCGTCAGGGTGTTTATTAATATAACTCCGATTGTATTCGTCTGAAAAAAGAAAGTCATATACACCTTGGATGGCTTGAGGGTGAGTAAATCATGGGCTAACTTTCATTTTAAAGTGAACTACTCCTTTAAAAGCATATTCAAATATATTAAAACTTCTGGTTACATGAGCCTAAGCTCTTTTCAATAAAATCCATGCAAAAGTTAATATCAGATCATTATAGAATACAGTATAGGATATACCGAATATTCTTCAGTTTTATGCAAAACAGAAATACGACAAATAGAATATCAGATCTCTGTCATATGGCCAAAAAAAAAAGCTTTTTTGCATAGTTGTGTTTGACACATGAAAACTGTAACAATGTATCTTACAAGGTAACACGATGTAACCTTGCTCTCACTTGAAATGTGTGTCCACATTAAGTCCTTGAATTCAAGGGTATTGGACCTGGAAAGTCCTTGAAAGGTCCTTGAATTTGTACCCTGTATTTATTTTTCATATATGTTATTTTTCTAATTTCCAAGCTTTATTTTTCATTTTTAAATCAAGAGCAAACATCATAAAAGCACTAGCTAAAAAGGACCGGATCATCAGTGATTCAGATTACCATTGCAATTCCTTTCATAGCAATAGTTTAAAGATCTGTAAGTTTGAGGAGAGTTTGTAAGCTGTTCCTAGAAAATGAAAATAATAATAAACTTTTTTCCTAGTTCAGACCAGGCTTTATGAACATTCATGAGCATATCTGGAGAACATATGCCATAAACACCAAATCTGTATCATTAAAAAGTAGATAAGCAAAAAGATAGTCTTCCCTTGTAAATAATGATAGACTGTCAATTAAACTGGCAATTTAGTACATTTGCTGTAATTATGTAAACAAAAACTTTATACAAGTAGCGTGGGTACCAGAGATTGACCAGTTTTAGTAATTCATTCTGTAATAATATTTTTAATCTCTATGTACCAATTAATAATTTGACAAGAGAAAGATAACAGATCTTGTTATACAATATACAGCAAGTAAGGGTTGTGCAGTTGAAGACAAATGAGGACAAGAAACTGATGCACCTATCTTCGAATGAGTACATGTACAGTATAACAGGAGCCACATTGGGTTTTCAGTGGCATTGGTTCACTGCTTAAAGTGAGATGTGGCAGAGCCTAGTGCAGTAACTTGTGCTGTAAAGCTGCTAATTCACAGGAAAACCACAGCACAGTGAAAAGGTGGATGCTTTTCAAATGGCTCTGATGGATGGTCTCACCATATGTTGATGAGGAATAATGATCCTGTAATGTCTAATGATGTGTAAAGCTTGTTTTATCAGCTCAACTTGATGACTGACAGTCATTGTACGGTATGGATGCTTGATGAAAAATTAATGAAAGTGTATTTTATTATTACTATACAGTTTTGCTCATTTGTGTTGCTTCTGTTGCAGTAACATTCATTAAGGCAATTTGAGAAAATACTTCTCTAAATGTCTTACTTTCTCTAAAAGTAAGAGTCTACAACCTTTGTTCACATTGAGAGATAATGGCAATAGTGACACAATTGCCTTTGGTGAAATACATATTTGTGCTCCTCATCACATGATGGCTCAAACCAAATATTATGCTAAAACAGCTGAACGACAGAAAGGATATTGATAAAAAAAACACCTGTGTTGACTCTCACATGAGGCGCATGTGTTCCCATCCTCCATGTACGTGTGTGTAAGAGTGAGTTTGTGTGTGGGCTGGGGGCAACTCTGTTGCTTTTAGTCATTAACCCCATTATCGCGTTGGGTGTGACGCAGCCTCATCTCCGCCACAGGGGCGGCTAAAGGACCACATTGTGATGTGTAGGACGGGATTAATGCTCTGTATTTATCTTCTCCCTAGCACCTTTTTAGCTTCAATAAAAAACATGCTTGTAATGTTCATGACAGACAGCCAAACAAGTGGTTTATGTTGTTAACCAAATAGTGTTTTTGTGCCTAAAAAGTTTTTAAATGGGTTGAGCAGTGGCATATTTGAAGTGTGATAATGGTGTGTTTGTGTGTGGGTGTTTTTGCTGAGCTCTGAGGGCCACAGGTGTGTGAAACGGTTTGATAAATTACCCACAATGTTTTGCTTAATGGTTTTATTCTCTCTCTCTCCCTGTTGCCCTCCCCTCCCCCTTTTTTTTCTTTCTCCTTCTGCACTCACATTTCTTTATATTGTTCTTTCACCTGTTTTATTGCATAGGCACTGAAGAACATCGCAGCCATCAGCCTGGCCATTAATTACCCAAATAAATCCACTAAGCAGCTCAACCTGTCCCCGTGAAGGAGGGATGAAAGAGAGATGCAGATGAAAGACGGGAAGCTTGCCAGAGCCCCATGGGTACGGCCTTCTGCGCTCGACTGCTGCAGCGGGAACGGGCCACATACGTTTTCCAGAAAAATCCACCTGTAAACCCAACCCTCCACTGTTTAATCATGAAGTTAGGGGCACGTGATGTTTCGTGTCTCTTCATAATCATAAAAGTTTCCTCTTGAAATGATGGCGAAGGATCTTTCCTTTTTCTTCTTTTTTGGGCTCACCTTGTCTGTTTTACCTCCTTTTTAACAATGAGAGTTTAGTGGGCTGTGCCAAATTTGTTTCTCACTCATAAGCACGTGTTCCTTTCTCCGCCCCTTCGTTTTCTTTGCCACCGTGGGCAAGACAATCGATCAAAGTAAAAGCAGGTCACCTTCCCTGCCTCACACTCTCCCCGGACACGTCGCCTAAAAATACGAAGCTGCCGACGCAGTCTCATCCTTCAAAGTGGCCCGAGACTACATACGATTCACAATATTTCGATATCTATCCAAAACCGCGGGGCCTTGTCTCTGTTCGCCCTCAGTGGAGCCTGATGAGCTGATGTTTGTTCAGTACTAGCAGCTAGCAGTTACACTTGAAAACCACATGCTTCTAGACAAATGGCGGCTGATGTTTGCGAGTAAAATAAAAAAACGAAACAAAGAGTTTGATGTGCCATTCGAGAACAGAAGGCGCCGTTTGCCTTAAGAGAGCGACTCAAAGTGATCTTTCAACTGATTGTGGGCCAGTTAACAAAGCTACGAAATGTCCTAGTAAGGGGAATGTCAGTGCTTGTGTCTTACATTGTCACGTCCCAGATTCTCAACTCACTCGTAGTGCAGCATACCACCAGGAAATGTAGAGCACTATGTACAGAAATATCACTTTATGTTGTGCTGCATGTAACACTGGACTGAATCATGACGTCCATTACTGTTCGGGGCATATTGGTTGGTGTTTTATAGATCTATTCTGTAATATTACTGCGGTTGGAGATGTTCTTGAGTGTTTGATCTGTTAAATGATACACAATTGCGAGTTTAGTGGACGGTCAAAAGGTGCAGAACTTGATAATCATAAACTTCATCCATCAAAGCGGTTTCCTTCTAATCTAGCGATTGAGACTCACCAGTATTTTAACTGTGGTGACATGGATACGGTTATGGAAGTTGTGTTGCTTTAAAAATATATATATTATCATTACAGGGACATTTTAGGGTGAATCTTGAGTGAAGCATTTGATTGGCTAACAGAGAGATATGTTGCTGTTTTTGCGGTCACGTAAAGGTTCTTAGTTCTAATCAATGTTTATCTTAATAGTTAGCCTATTTTATTAATTGTCAATTTTTGCCCTGTAGCCAAGTGTTTCTCTTTTTTTATGAAATATAGCTTTTTGTTCTTGACAGGGGTATTCAGGTCTTTGATTTTGATTTCAGTTTGATTTCATTTTAGTTGGAAAGGGATTGAGATGGGTAGTTATTCATGCCAAAGAATCATTGTTGTTTGAAAAAGAAATGTATATTTATCTTCCAGAAGAGATATTGGGGGTGGTTGGTGGAGGTGGTGTTATAATTGAAAAGAAAGCTCCAACGACGGACACGGATCCTTTAGTCCTCAATGTTTTTGTTTACATACGTACTAGCATGGAGCGCTGGCTACGTTTGGTGGCCCTGCTCAGCCTCAGTTCGGGTGGAACATTTCAAAATGTCTGCCAGGAAAATTTCCTGTCACTATAAAGCCTCAGATATTAACAAACGATGTGCCTATGTTTAAAATGAAGCAATCTTAATTTAATCTTCATATCATTGTAAAAGTCCTCTCTTCAACTATATTTTTAAAGAAAATTATATAGTTTAATTTGGAGCATTTTCTATCTATTTTATTTTTATGAATGTTTTTTTTTTCTTTCTCAGAGTTTATGGCTTCAATTGCTTTGAATTTGACATGAATGTATATAGTTGTGAATATGGACAATTGCATAAATAATTGATATGAAAATAATTTTTCAATTCAGCCCTCCACATTAAAAAAAATGTCATAACAATGTACTATATTGTTGTAAGTTTACACTTGACCCTTTTGAATTGATTTGCTATGTCACGCAAAAAGAAAAAAACTGCTCTGGGTTGATTGCTCATTTGTTTTTAATTAAAAAAGCAAGATATGCAAATTCATGTGCCTAAGGGTTTCCTTCTTTTACAGAAAATTACTTGAAAGTCAAAACTTGAGCATGTTGTTGGCGAGTTTTATAATATACTATATACAAAAAAACATGAATTGCTACATTGTTGTAGCAATATTTATTTTATTTGACTTAGTTTTGGAGTCATTATAATGTAGTTTAGTTTCAGTTTTTTGCTACTTATTATTATTTCAGTTAACGAAAATGTTTTTTTTTTGTTTTCTTTAACGGTAATAACGCTGCATTGAGCTGATTTAAGAACATTTAGTTTATTCACTTGGATTTGTAGAATTCACTTTCATTTATTTTCCTACTGTAAATTGTTCCTTGCCTATTTTACTTTCTTTTGAAATTTTGAACCTTTAAGTTGAAATCACAAAATTTGCCATGCAGCTTCTATTTAAGATTAATTTTACAGCCATACTTCTAGTATATTGATATTCCTCAAGGTTTATGTCGCTTTGACCTTGAAAATCTTTCCCATATTAAATTCCATATAATTTGTGCAGCTGTTTAACAAAAGCCATCACATTTCGTATGTAGCTATATTACTTATAAGTACAAAATAAGACATTTTCCTGTAATTTCTGATTTGATCCTTCTTTTTTCCCCATGCTGAAAGGATCCATTAATCTCAAACTGCCTTACACATGGAGCCTGAAGCCTCGAATGTGGCTTGCTACTGAAAATTATACTAAATTACACATAATCCAGTTTTTATGAAACTTGACTCTAACTTCAATAAAATGTAACAATTACAAGTGCATTAAAAAAATCGTGCCAACATAAAGTTTTTGTGTTCCTTTCCCCTTTCTCATTTGAATATTAACACCATTCCCAGCATCCTGATCCAATTGAATACAGGCAGCAGAGGTGTCTGAGGTCTAACGTCTATATGTTTGTGTTTTGGCTTGGCAAACACATGGACCCTCCCTTTAGTAATACAAATAGTCCCTCCCATGTCAGCATTTTCTTCCCTCCTAGAATGTAAACCATCTGCTGTTTTATTGTAACCGTTCGCCTAAATATAGGCTCTCGCTTTCAAACAAACACGCATGCACGGTCGACACGTGACAGAGCCACACCCTAGAGCTCATCTTCACGAATAAAAGTGGACAAATTTACCTCATAGTAGCACCAGTGTTTCTCTCTGCCTCCCTCTTTCTCTCCATTCACAGAAACACTGAATGACAGACGTGTCACTGATGATGATGATGGTGGTGGTGATTGTGCTGGAGAAGACAGTGATGATTCAGAGGAGCTCTAAACTGTAACATCCCCCTCATTACCTGTGAGTCAGCTCTCCTCACACCTCCTCTCCCGCTCCCTGCCTTCCCATGAGCTGGACGTCACCAGCAGTGTGAGACCCTACAGCTGCGACAGCAGGGGGAGATGAGGATGATGATGATGAAGTCATCCGGTGGGGACGTGAGGCTGTGGGTTTGAAGAAGTATAAATAGCCTTTGACACCGGGATGGTCGCGGAACTCTCTCTTCACACCTACACCTCGGATATGGGAAAAAGGGAGAAGGGGTGAAGTGAAAAACGGAGTAAATGATAATCTGTAGATGTGCTGGTCCCGAGAGGGGGTGGGTGGCTGTGATTCAGGCTTCGCTGAAGAGGAGTCTGGATTAATGGTGCTTTCACAGCAGATGATTTGTGTTTTGGCTCTGCGTCATGTTATGCAGGAATAAGGGCTTGCACTAGATGAATGCAGTTGTTTATTGCTTGTTTTAGAAATGAGCTGTTTGGTTTGTAGTTCTAATACTAGAGAATTAGCATTTTTTTAGCCAAAGATTTCCTATAACTCAAACTTGTGCTAGTTTCTAACCAGTTACATACAACTAGCCAGACTACATAACAACTACAACTGTTAGCTGATTCGTTAAGCACCTGTACTCACACATCCTTGTTAGCTGTAGCCCTGATGTTGCATCTTGTTAGCAACTTGGAAAAACAGTGAAAAGTACCTGTGCTGTAATGCAGCCTTCAAGTGGAGTCAAAAATGTCATATTTATGCTTTCAAAGCACATGAATGAACCAGCAATGTTGCATTTACTAGTGGGAAACTCTGAATTATAGATAATTCTCGACTATATGTCTCAAAGTATTGTGCCTGTTCTAAATGGTAAGCCTAATGAATGACTTTGCAAAGTTATTCAAATTTTTTTCTGTGCTGTATTTCAGTAATATTATAAATGCAATATGTTTGTAAGATACAACAAATGTAAAGTAAACCACTATACATCATATACACTACTACACTAAACATTATACTGTGAACATTACAATAAACCCAAATAGCTATATCTGAATTCCAAAAAGCATTAGAATTATGAATTTGTATCACTTAGTTTAATACAAAATATTAACAAAATATGTATTACATGGAGCAAGCCATGAAAGTAATTAATAAATGAGTAATCAATCAAGTAGCCTAATTAACTTGTGTTACCCGCGCAACTCATGTATCACCTAGAACTCAGTTTCCCACTAGTAAATGCAACGTCAGTCTTTCCTCAGAACTCGTAATTATGATATTTCAAGGCACATGAGAAACTGAATTGCATCCTTGTGGCTAGCAACTCTGATAGCAACTTTGCTGGCTGAGAAACAGAACGGAATATGTAACCCCTGAAAACATTTTCAATCATATACATGTAGTTTACTTTCATACTGTACGTAGCTCTTATGGTGTGGATGTCTTTGGCTTTCTGCCACTAGCACACTAGTTTCATTATAATTAAAGAACTCTGAATGTATAGGCTTCAAGACTACAGGCAGGCTGATGCACAGGAACAACACATATTTGTATGTACATCTTATGTTGGAAATCTTGCCAACACTACTTTTTATTCACATGAACCAGTCACACTCTTAGGAAAACAGTGACACTTTCATAGATGAACAATGGATGTGAGGACTTGATTCTTATTACACAAACAGGACGATTTGTATTCTTTTGGGATGCAAAAGCCTTTGAAAACTTTTATGAGTGTATGAATTCACTGAGAATGGGCCTGCAGTTGTCTTTTACGACTGCAAGTCAAAAACAAAATGTAATTGCGCAACAATCCTATATTTTTCTAAGCTGCTGATCTCTTTTGTGTCTTGCTACCATAATCTTGGATGCTTGTACTCTTTACCGCTAGAAGCAAACTTTTATGGTGCTTTGTATCTCATCATTGTGTCCCGTCCAATGCCAATGGTTTTGACATTTAAATGCTCAGTAAGCACATTTGGGTGTCTACATACTATTGGCAGTAAAGTGTATGCAACATCATATGTTTGACCAAGGAAGTGTTGTTTAAAGTTTTAGCTAGTTTTGTCAGCTAATAGATTAACATATTTGCATAGGTTTACCAATGTACATCATGATTATATGGGCAAAATGGTAGTTAAACAGCTCGTGATCCCTTAGAAGCTAGTTTAGCTAAATTATTCATCGTGTTCATTAACTGACACGATTTCTTTTTCTTCAAATGTCTCAGACACTATCCCTAGCGGTATGTCCTTTTAATGTCCAGTCACGAAATGAAATCGAGGCGAAAGTGCTGTGTGAAATGAACCTCATCGCTGTGAGTGTGCTCTAGAGAAAAGCAATGATCTGCTCTCTGACTTCTGTCAAACGCTGGAGGTTTGATTTCCTGTATGTAAGATAGAGGCTGAGAGAAAAGGCTTGCTTTGTGTGTGTTTGGGGAGAGAATATTTGCATTTGTTTTCAATTCTCTGATGTCAAGCTCCATTGGAATGCCTATAGGCAGTGAAGGGCCGGGCTGAGATGATCTGAGGCTGAGCTGTGCTTCACTGGAGTCAGCTGCCCTCCGTGGCTCGTCTCCTGACACTCGAGAACTACACACATCAAATCTTTCTGTCAATACACTGCAGCTTACTTCAGTTTTTTCCTACTTAATTTGCCTTAGGCAGAGCTAAAGACGTCATTGTTAAAATCGTTCTCTTTATGTCTCTGCATTGTTGCAATATGACAGTTTTAGACTATTTGTCCTGTTTCTCTCTCTCTATGGCTGTGTTCAGAATGGAGGGTATGGGACACTAGGCAGTATATAATGCATACACTGTCATTCATGAAATTGGCGTTGGTAAGCATTTTGCAACGTCATCTGTCTCTAATGCTCATCTAGGCTGCATTTATACGATCAAAAAAATACAGTAATATTGTGAAGTGTTTTCTGTTTTAATATATTTTAAAATGTATCTCTAAATATCTAAAAACAACTTGCAATATGTCATGGTGATTATTTCAGACTGTATGCTGCACTACTGTTTCATGACCACATTATATGGTGAATTCAGCAATAAGCGTTCAATTATCCTCTTTGAACAAAAAAATGCTGTTGCTATTGTTTCATGTTCATACATAAACAGTCATTGTATTGTGGGATACAGTATTCCTCAGTGTGTGGTTGTATAGTGCACATTTGCATAGGGAGTTCTATGCATTCAGAGATTTTGCATACCTTAAAAATAGTACAAGTAGTATGGCAATATGCCTCTCTGAACATGGCCCTTTTTTCTTTAGCGTCTCTGATGAGTATGGAAGACTTTATAGCACCCTTCTTCTGTCCTTGTAGATTGTTGAAAAAATAAAACTGTCTTTACAGCGTTCGTCCTTCAACAGAACATTGAAAAGAGGTTACTAGAGCTTCTTCATTCAGCAGTCCTGTGTCATGCAGTAAGTTTTTTTATTTTTTATTTAACTTTTTCATAAGAATAAAATTGGAGTCAAAAGCAACATTTAACAGTTTTAGGTTGTAGTCATTTCTTTACCAACAGAATGAGCATTTAGCCACGATAACTCAACCCCAACTCTAACCCTATAATTTCACATGTGGTACCCCAAATCCTCTAATTTTTCAGAGAATCAAACGTAGCATTCCATCACAGCAGAAATGACATCACATCAGATGTCACAGACTTCTAAGAACTTCATTAAAGGAATGCCCCATCACAATACTAATGAGACCTAC